GCTCAGTATAGATGCAGCTTGCAATGCATTGATAGATTGATATATTTAATATGTTGATGTTGAAGTTGAAGTTGATTGATAAAATAAGATGTTTTGTGACTGTTTTGATGAGGCTCACCCCACGTGGATTTGATGACCTCAAAACTGGTAGCCCGAATTCACCACCATTCATGAATATCATCTCACACTGTGATTTTTATCATCATCCTTATCACGACACAACAGCTGCCACATTGCATCAGCCCATTGTGGAAGCTTGCTTTTTTTATTCTGCACCTTTTAAATTCCATTTTTAAGTTTGGTTTGCTCATCCATCCGCCAATCTGGAGGCAACATCGGCACGGATGGCAGCGCGGGACCGGTTTGGTGTCTATGCTGAACCCGTGCAGTCCACTCTACAACGCTACATCCGTAGGTTTTCTCCGACTTCTCATTATACTAGAAACACTTTTATGCATTCGCGTGGATTTGTTTGACAAAGCTGTTTCGTAGACAATGCTTGCGACCCACAAAACTTCGAACCCAATCTCGCCTTGAACCTGGAGGTAGCGGATCTAATTAACTCCAAAAAGGGCAATGCGTGAGTCAATATTCCGGTCTTTAAACCGCCACTTCTACGGTGCTGACAATTGGGAAGCCCTCGAGAAGCCGCTATTAGCATAGTACACCTCATAAATTCTCGGAATGCAAATGTTGCCCTGCTCGCCCTTGCAGTATGTCCCGCAGGCTTTCGGATCACTTGAGTGTGTTGGATACTGATAATGGCGTGGTGTTAGCTTCTTGATATATGTGTGAAAAACTGCGGATATCCGTTCCATCTCCAAATAAGCACCAAGGAGTTTCTCAATGAATTGGTTCGAAGATTTCCGGAACGACCCCCCATCCGTCCCTCGAGGGTACAACATCGAATTCTAGAGTCGATCGAAGAATGGCGGCAGACAATATGTCAGACTTCCCGATACAAGGAGGATTTGGGCTTCATCAGAGATATGCACCGCCTGCTTCTTTACAAGGGCTATATGTTCCCGGAGATCCGCCGCGAAGATGCCGCAGTTTTGAACCCAAGTGATGTAGGTTTACTTAAAAAATACCTGTTGCGTTAGGGCAATATTGACCATATGGTTAGAATCTTCAATCTGCAGAAGAAATGGAAGAAGAGGAACGGACCGCCCAATCAGCAAAGCTCCAAGAACTCATTCGAAGAGGGAGCCCTGAAGATCTACAGGAGGCCAACAGGTTGATGAAAGTGATGGCAGGCTATGACACGAGACATAAAACGGATTATAGGGCAAAGGCCGCTGAAGAGGTTGCCAAGGTCCAACAAAAGGCAAAGATTCTGGAGGAAATGCTCCAGAGGTACAAGCCGGGTGATAAAATAAATGAAGGGGACGTGTTTGAGGTACGATATACCTCGAATAGAACAAATGAGATTGAACTTAATGGAGAACTTCAGGAACTCGCCAACGCTCTACAAAGCGCCCATCCGAAAATCCAAAAAATGTGCGAGGATGAATCAGACGACTCAGAAGCTGTTGCTAAACTTCTTGAAATCAACGATAGCATACATCGGACAATCCAACGCTATAAGCTGGTGAAATCAGGTGATCTAGATGCTGCTGCCAAGATTCCCAAGGGGACACTGGGGACAAGCACAGGCGTCAAGAAGACTGCCGATAATGAATTTTCTTTAATCGATTTTAGCGCCGATGCAGAACCCAGTTCCAATGGTAGTACAATCGCTACTACATCTCAGCCCCAAGCTCCCAAATCTTCAGAGGGGGACCTTCTTGGTCTTTCGTTTCAAGATAATTCACAACCACAGCATGGTGGCATATCCCTAGGATATGGCTTTAATTCGAGTAAGTACGCCTATGGTCTATGTAGTGTTTGTCAAACTAACATTTTTGGCAGGCCCTTTGGCGCTCCCCGGATTTTCGCCCACATCAAAACCTTCCGGAAACCTGTTTAACGACCCCAGTCCCTCCGCCACTGCTGTCTCAGTATCAAACACACAGTCCCCTGCACCTCTTCTAACTTCAATACAGCGACAAACAGCCACACCTCCGCCAGCAGACCCATTTGCATCTCTAGTCTCGGCACGTTCCCAGACTTCATCGCCTTTCAACCAACTTCAAAGCTTTATGGGAACTAGTCACTCACCATCAGCAGCCATCCTCGACCTGGCTCAACCTGTGTCTCAACCAGCTACCCAGACGACAGCGCCGACATCAACTGCAGGGGATGATGAATGGACCTTTGCCTCGGCCCTTCCAGAGGATAGCCCGCCTAGTACAAGCAAGGTACAAGTCCTGAAATCATCTATCGGAATTGATTTCATCTCAAGTCGGAATGCAGGGGAGCAGAAGATACATGTGGTAGTCTCCTTTTCAAGTAACACCAGCCAACCCATTTCTGAGATCCACTTCCAAGTCGCAATTGAGAAGGTGAATTGCGCTTCCCGCGTCCCTCCCTTCCTCCATGTCCCCATTTCTTTTCTCCCGCTTTTGCCACATTGGAGTTTGTCGACCTACAGAGCCGCGTAAACTAATGTTATCATCTACTTGACAGGCATATACCTTGCAACTTACACCACAGTCTGGACGTCAACTAGCGCCATTACAGCAGGATGGAGTACGTCTCGAAATGCACTTGAACGGCATACCCCCCGGGAGCGGTAACTCGGTTAAGTTGAGATATAAGGTTTCTTATAAACTGGGAGCGGAGTTAAAAGAAGAGCAGGGGCGGGTACCTCCTTTAGGCATAGCTTGATTCTTTTTGTGGGCCATTACCTTCTTTGCACCAACTTCGGTGAGAGGGAAGGAAGCAGAATAATGGGAAGAGAAGCGAAATAGATATAGCAAAGGAATCAGAATCTAAAGCCCGGGTTAATGTATAGCTAGCTCGAGCTGAGTAGTTTAGCTCTATGTTATAATTCCAGGTGCTATCAAGTTCGTCATTTTAATCTTTACTAATCTCCCCTTTTCAAACAGTTGTTAAATTCTCCCTCTTGTGGTAACTTCCCGTGTTTCCTTGGGCTGACTGTCCTTGATTCCTCATCAAATTCTATTATCCCGGACCATATTAACTTACTGTATGCCTGTGCGAACGACTATCAAACAATTGGGAAACTCTATGCTATAGACCGTGCGCTTTCGGATGTCGATCCCTCCACCTCCAGAGCAGATCCCGAATGCCTTAGACCGTGTCACATATTAACCACGATGACGTCGCGAGCGGTTCCTGCACAAATAACGCGTACCCCATGAACCAAGTAGGTATTCGAGAACAAGAGAACGTGCGAAAATCGGTGTACACCAAGGATAATATCGTTTTCCTTTTTTTTTTTTTTTTTTTTTTTGGTTAATTTTCCCTCATCCCATAAAACCTTGCGTTACGTGTAGCTGCTAAGAACAGGCATTGTCCTCTGCTAACTCTGCGCAGTGTTATAAACTGATCACAGAGACATCAGTTCTCCACAAACCACATGTGAAGAGTGACGATGCTCTTATTGCATGTATTCAACATCCCGTGTATGCACCGTTCGTGCTTAAGCGCTGCAGCGTACGCTGTCATATTTGCTAGAGTGTAGCTAAAAATTATGCCGACCTTTAACTGCCGAAATTGAAGTATTGCTATCTTAGTCACTTGTGATACGCCGTCTGATTTGTTTCAAAGCATGAATCTGGACCTCTCCATGTGCCTCGTTCCACATGAGGTGAAGTAAAGAACGTGGTGATACATCAGAACAGAAACGATTCCGTGTGGGGATGATTTTCCGAGGTCCTCCGGCCGGCCCGTCTTTCTCCACTTGTTGACCGGCACAAGGCGCATAGAACTGGTTAGTCGACGGAAGTCCAAAATAAAAAAATAAAAAAATAACAGACAAAAGGAGAAATCAAAAATAATCCCGGAGTTAACCCCACTCAAAAGATGCGGCTCCAAAAGCTGGAACAATATTTTCCAATTTTATTTTCCTAGACCGGTTCGGTACGCATGGTAGCCATTATCAACTTAATGTCCATTATACATAGGCGCAACTTTCCATCCAACTTATGTTATCACTGATCAAGGATGTATGAATAATTCTAGCTTGATCTTTGTCTAGATTATTTTGTAGAAGTTCTTGCACTGGAAACTTGAATGAGAAAATAACAAGTCCCCATTTAATTAGAGAAAGCTTCAAATTTTTGGCTTGACTAAACTGCCCCAATAACTGAGTTAATTAGTTAACTAACCTAGTTTAGTTAGTCTATAATAACCAACTAGTTAACTATGTTTTTCATTCGCAAAACTCTGTTTATTTTTGGCTTTATAGACAAACTTTGAATTCCAAAAGGCAAAAAGGAAAAACTTAGAAAAGCCCCGAGAAACCCACGTACAGAAAATTGAAACATGTGAAGAATTGATTAGCAGCTAACTGGTAGGGGGTGCCAAATGCTTGGACCGTTGGACATAATAACTATTCCACTGTGGCAAATACTCGAAAGTAAAAGGTTTGATTGTTGGTAGGGTAGGCCACGCTACGAATGCCGGATGATGTCGTGTATCTGCAGTTAGATTGTGGTTGGTACCTGCAGACAACAACTGCCAAGTAATTTTTAAATTTAAATACTCCGTTGTGGGCAGTGGAATCCCAGTGTACTCTTCGCAAACATCCTTTCTGTTTGGATTGTTTTTCCCCGCTGGTTCCTGTGTAGATTGGGCGGGCAGTAGCTGACACACACACTGCCCAGCCACTGACTCATCAAGGAGTATGCATGAACCAATAGGTATATATGATCATGAAGATTCAATACTGAAGGAGTAATCTCTAGCTTCTTTGCCATTTCCCCGCACGTGCTGTGGAAGCACATGCAGTTGAGGCATTGCTGAAATTTCCCAAGGAGGAAAGGAAGGATACAAGACTCCACACAACTGGTGAACTTAATTGAGCGGTTTTACATAGTTGCGCTCCGCCCAACGTGTATCTTATGTAACAGTGGTTGGTAGCAAGCCCAGCTTTAATCTCGCCGTCGAAAGATCGCATCCAACATCGCACTATTGCTATTGTCAAGGCGTCTATTGGGAGGAGTGGTAATACCAATAAGGTCAATGCTTTTCCGATCCCGAGTTCGAGCAGACATCCCCCCGAAATATAACCCCGCTTTTCCAGCCCGTAAAGGAAAGGAAAAAGCAAAGTGAACATTCTGAGCCAGTCCAGGATTACCCGGTTGGGAGTAGCCACTTTGAAGATCAAGGTTAAAACCAAGTATTCAGGGTCCAGGGAATCCAACGATCCACATGCAAATGCAATTATTATTAGCTTTCTAGCTGGTTTAGCTTAGGTCTGTAGGCGTAGAAGGGGTTTAAAAAAAAAAAAAAAAAAGAAAAAAGAAAAAAGAAAAAGGGCAACCGGTCTAAACCTTGGGAGAGACGCCGGAAAGAGAAGGTTATTTATTATTGGATAAAAGTTGTAAGGTTCTCGACGCCTGTTTTTCAATTTTGGTATTTTATCATATTTCTCGCCTAAATGCGGAAGTAGGTCTCCTGGAAAAGAATTCTCCGTTAAGTTTTGTAGTTTTTGATTTTGGACCGTTTGGACAGCCGACCATCAGGAAATGAAGCGCTATGTACGGAGCAACCGTGGTGGATACCCTAGGTGTATGGAGTCGAAGCCTAATAGGGATAAGTCATAACGAGGGTATCCTACAGAGTAACTAAGGTAGGTTAAGCGGTTTTCTAGGTACCGACCCCTTAGGCAGGTACCTTAGTACCTTAGTTTGGATGCTGAGGAATCTAAACACTGCTTCAGAAGTTAGAACATACGGAGTGCAGCAAATTAGCGAGCACTAAGAAGGCGTATGAGCGTGGCTGCGCGAGGCTTTTGCCGGACAAGCAATTGGCGTCAGTGGCCTGACCCCAAGTGATCAGCCACTAGGTGGAGGGGCAGATCGAGCTAATTCCCAAGCGGCATAGCCCCCTGCTTACCAAAGCCTTGGCATTGAGCCCAGACCACCCAAATTACCCGAGCAGCGCCTAGCCTATATTAGGCCTAGCTTAGCCCGAGCTTAAGTCTAAGCGAGGGTCGCGAGGCTCAAACAGGAAACTTTGACCTCAACCCGTGGACCAGAGCCTGCCTGCCTCGACTGGACATTTCCACCTGCGGACGGCTGCCAACTCCAAGAATAATCAATACGGGCTGGACAACGGACTCTGTTTGGCCGACTTTCTGCCTGTGCCTAGGCACCAGGCATACGGAGTACACAACTGTTTCAATGTCCAGTAGCTATCCAATAACTCTTGGAACAGAAACACCCTCGTTCTGGTCTCAGATTCTGAGCAGCTAGGAATAGGTTCTTTCTCCCGGCTTCTGACTGGCTGGATCCAACTATCAGAGCTCAGTTGGCAGGACAGGGGGCCAGGACAGGGCCAGGGTAAAAGATGGAAAAGAAAAGAAGCTAAACTAAACGAAACGAAACGAATAGAAAAGGAAAAGGAAAAAAAAAAAAAAAAAGGTCCCCCGCTCGTATACTGTACCATCCTGTCTGAATGGGACCATATGGTGGCGCAAGAAACAGACGTGAGTGTGGTCGTCCAGTGCTGGTGCTGGATTCCCCTGCCCATGGCCGGTTTTTCAGGGCCTAAATTGTAATGGTTTTGCAAAGCGCCCCCCCCCCGGGGTCCCTTGGTCCCTAAGAGATCGTCCTTAATTCCGACGATTGGATGGGAAAGGACATTTGGACATTGAACAAGTGAGGTGTTGGGGACATTGGACAGTTGGAGGTACTGGTACTCGGCAGACTCCGTACCTAGGTTGAAGGTCATGCCACCAACATCGTTTAAAACATAGTGACAGAACGTCTTTTTATATCTTGGAGCCCTACCTAGAGTTATGGTTTGTAGTTGCATGGTCCCCCCCATCTATATCTTTTTTTGCTTTTTCTTTCTACTCTTTCTTTCTTTCTTTCTTTCTTTCTTTCTTTCTTTTTTTTTTTTTTTTAATTTATTTATTTTAATTTAATTTACCCTTCTTCAATCACGATTTACTACGATTTACCTGGTCGACAGAGAAACATCTTGCGCACGGGGAAAAGGAATTTAAGGTGTTCTATCTTCCACAGTGAACCCCCCTCACACACACACACACACACACACACACACACACACACACACCACTCCCTCCGTCTCCCGTAAGTCAACGCAATCTGGGCCCTTGCATACGTTCCGCAGCAAGCTTTTTCACCCTTGTTGCATAGAATTTTGGTCTGTCCTCGGCCGGGTCCGAAGTTCCATTACCGCATTACCGCATTACCACACATTACCGCACGATACCTGCAAACTGCTTTGGAGTATACAGAGTACCTGGGTGATGATATAGTTATCAGAACACAAAGCGTTTCTTCCCTGCTAACGGAGGGGCGGTACTTGCTTTTCCCCCGCCGTGGGCGCCCAGTGAGCACCGCGCCAACCAAGCCGCTGCAACAGGCCCATTTGGGCCTAGGTAGAAGCTCCCCTGCGAACCGTGGTTCCCCAGCAAAGTCTATGAGTTGGTCTCTCACTAGCGAAATCCATTTTCGGGGGCGCGACCTTTCTGTTATTCCCCGGGCCCTTTCCTCGACGGAACCTGAACCAGCCTTCCAAGGTTTGTTGTTGGCGGTGTCTTTCTTCTTCAAGTTCGCCCTTTCCCCACTCCCCACTCCACTCAACAACCTTGTACTCTTGCACTCTTGCACTCTTGCACTCTTGTACTTTTGCACTCTTGTACTCTTGTACTCTTGTACTCTTGCACTCTTGTACCCTTGCACTCTTGCACTCTTGCACTCTTGCAACGTTGCACCGCTCCTCCTCTCCTCCTCCCCCAATACATACATAACTCTTTCCGCCCCTCGCCTTCGCTATCTCTCTATCAGATTTCGCAGCGGATCTCCCGAGTCCACAGTGGAGCTTATTGCGAGTGGGACAGATCGTTCTTCAAAAAACCCTTCCATATATGATATGACATTCGGAATACGGGCTCCACCTCTTTAAATTACTGTTCGCGCCTTCCCCGCCGTCTCTATCTATATTCTTAGCAAAAATATTACTGCAACCTCCTCTCTCATTTGGTTTCCCAACTACGTACGCTACGTGCCGTTGCTCGTTTTCTTGAATCAAATAGAGAGCCTGCTCTTTAATCATCCCTTGGGCTACCCGTATGCTACTGGCATTTCATTCTTTCGTCGTTGAATAAACAAACAACAACAACAACAACAACAACAACAACAACAACAACAACAACAAAGAATAAAAATAAAAATCGAAAAATAAAATAAAAAAAATTAAAAAAAAAATATATTTAAAAAAAATTAAAAATTAAAAGCACAGACTACATCACAGCTTCAGTCACATCATCACTTACCGCGCGGTGACTCGTTGACCATGGCTTCTCCCGTTTCACCTCGCTGTAAAGATCAGAAGGAGGCTAAGGATATGGACGAGAAACACGAGACTGTAGAGGAGAAGGAAGCAAGAGCGAGGGAGGATATCAAGAGGCGTTTGGAAAACAGAGAAAGGTTAGTCGTTCTCGTCGTCTACCCGTGACTCCTCCAGGAACTCGTATGTCTGGCGCGTTTCCCCCTTCCGCCCAGAGGTCTAACAGAAGATTACAGGGCGTTCATTGCAGCTTCGAGGAGAGGGGACAGGACCATGGAAGCTAGTTTTGAGTCTGCATTGCGCGCATCAGAGGTCCATAAGGAGCGCACGGGCAAGGGTTTGCGTATTACCATGGAAGCCGTTGAAAGGGAAGAGATGTATGATGAATTGGACGACGAGCATGGGCGCAAACGTCGATGCCACATCGACAGCCTCCAGCTGAGGTCTCAGTCGCTGGACGTTCATTTACACCCGTATATGGTCGCCAATTTTGGCAAAGCCAACCCAGTCTCTAATTTCACACCCCTCAATGGTCACCTGCACAGCCCATACCAGACGGGCTCGATAGCTGCTCAGGGAGTTTACGACCCGGCTACCTATCATTTCACAGGAGTACCAGGTGTGGAAAGAATGTTTAACAATCCCTTCAGCCCAGCAGCAGCAGCAGCAGCATCCCATGCACGATCCAACTCGCTCCCCGTTGTCCAGAATACCTCTGTGTATGAACGTCAAAGAATGACCAGTTTTGATGACCAACACCACAGAATGAACCGTCGAGTGGCCTCGGACCCAGCACTCGCTCTCTCACATCTGCAACAAACTGCCCTTCCCATGCGCCCCGAGTCTCACCCTAAAAATTCATTCGCTGCTTACCCACTGCATCGCAATCCACAGCAACAACAACAACAACAGCAGCAGCAGCAGCAGCAGCAGCAGCAACAGCAACAGCAACAGCAACAGCAACAGCAGCAACAACAACAACAACAACAACAACAGTGGCAGCATCTGGAACAAGCCCAGCAACAGGCCAGCAATTCGATGCGACCACATTCAAATACCCAACAACAATATCACGCTGTACTGCAAGCGTCTCCAAACATACGGCAAGAAGCTTCAAATCTCCACAAATTATCGCCAAATATGCGCCGGCAGTCTTATCAGCATATCCAACAACCTCGCCCTCGCCACCTAGATACCCACTACAGAGCAAATAGGGTTATTCGCATGAACTCTTTAGATTGTACGCCCTATTCTCAGTCTTCTCCCGTCAAATCTCCAGCCGAGGGACTGTCAACCCCTGTCGCTTATCCTACTTCTGCCACTGCATATGCCTGGGGTGGGAATAATCATTGCTTGGTCAATTCTTCGACGACAAACAGTAACGCCATTTGTCCCACTGCCAATGCTCATGATCTAAGCAACTGCATTCCATCCAGTGAAGTCCAGGAGATGGAAAATGAGACCTCTGATGCCCCCATCCATCGTACACCGATCCAAGCCCATCTATCAACGCCCTTGTTCAAAACACCGGCCAATGAAACATCCCCAGTTTCGCGAGGGACTTCAGCTGGATCGATGACAACTTCGGGCTCCAGCTTGACTGATCCGTCTATCCCTTCACCCGGGGACAATAGAGCGTTCCAGGACCAAGCTGCAATCGCTGTGGGTCCGGGTGACCTTGTTTCTGGCTCAACGAACAACAGCGGTGACATGCTTACTGAAGAAATTGGTGGTGGGTCCGAAACTTCATCCTTCTTTCAAGATGCCTTCTCTGATGTTAATGGACTTGAAATCAACACTACTGGCTCTCAAGAGTGCTCTGATGAGAACAATTTTCTCAGATATGAGTTCTCTGAGCCTTTTGGTGTTCCAGCATTATAACTTTTGAAAATCCTAACCTCTCATATTGTTACTTTTTTAATACAGTTTAGTTACCTAATCAAACACCCCTCCCTCTGTTTCTTGTTTAGACTCCCGGGTTCTCTTCACATACACACACACACACATACACACACAAACAAAACACAAGAACAGAAATAAACAGAAGCAATTTTTGCATTTATAATTCATTTGCTTTCTTGTATATCTCTTTGCCTTATACATTCCCAACAGTCTGTTTTTTCCTCTTTATGTATTCTGTTCTGAGTTAATAACTCAAATGTTCTTTTTGCTGTCTTATATTTCTTTCTATTTCACATTGCCTGGTGCATATGGCCAAGTTCTTGCATATATTTATTGTCTGCTGTTTGTTCTCATTCTCTTTCTCTCAGTTTTCACTTGACAAAAAATTAAAAAAAAAAAAAAAAAACCCAGAGCTGAAATAGAAGAAATGATGTGAATGTGTGATGTGATATGTGTGATGTGATATGTGTAATGTGATCACTATAAGTGTCTATGAAAATTTTGCTTCACAGTTTCATTTTTCAATTTCCCTTGCTCTCTCACAAAGTACATCAAAACATATCTCAAGGTACCTCAAGCAAAAGCAAGATATCCTCTTTGCAGAAAAGAAAAGTTGTTTGTGCATACTCTTCTGCCTTGGTGATGGTACTTTTCTATCAACTAACAAGCTGTGAGCCCACTTCCTAAAAGGCAAATGAAGAAGAGTGAGCGAGTAACTAAACCTTTCCCTTCAGGCTTGAAGTCAGATGAGAAACACAATACCCTCCTCTGCTTTAATTTTTAATATTCTGGCATAATTTTCAACTTACTGCTTTCTGCAATATACCGATCATTTTCAGAGTTTTTGTAAGTTTTTGTATTTTTTCTTCGCTTTTATTTTATAATTTATTTTCTTTCGCAGTTTCTTATCACCCGTTAATGTCGCTGCTCCATATACTCAACCCGGACACCTAAGATGGCGAAAGCATTTTGACATATTTGACATATTGGATGACGAGTATTATACTCCAGCTGCGGCGTGTGCACCTTGCGGCTCGTGCGTCGAAATTGCCAGTCAAGTTCTCTAGTTCTGATTATAGCTTGAGGTGTGCTGTGAGAGTGCTACAGAATGAGAGCAGCAGAGAGGAATGAAGAGACACAGTGAGGTGCAAGTGAATACTACAAGTGTCAGAAAGGAATTTTGGAGAGAAAAAGTTCTGCTTGTAGGTAGTGTACTTTTAACCTTTCCCCCTCCCCTTTCACTTCTCACTTGAGCTATTTTCCCCTGAAAATTTGCCTAACTATGCAGAGCAGAAAGATGGAGAAAGAGAAATGAAGAAGAAAAGAGAAAAGAACCTCTGATGAAAATTATTTTGTATTGTTCTTTTAGCATGAAAAGAGGTTTGTTTAATTATGAAATAGTTGATGAGATTTTGTATTATTAAATATACTGCAAAATTTGACTCCTTTTCTATTATTTTATACATTGGTTTTCAGTTCTATACCTTTTTTTTTTTTTTGTTAGAGACTTCAATGATTATATCTCTTGCGATAGAGGATTGTTCCTCTATCAGTCGGATAAGAAGGAAGCATCAAATGGCGGTTGGACATACATCATCACCTACGTAAGTATTCAGGGGGGAGGTTCCACAGGCGGAACGGTATAGGTTTTTCTTTTTTTACCACTTGGAGATTTATTACCAATGGAGTCTCGGAGAATTTCAACGTGTGAGGTTACAGCTAATTAACTACATATATAAAGGAGAAACTTATTATTAGTATAAAGGACATCTCCTTCATATGATTTATATCTTAGAGAGTTTTTCATGATATTTCACTACTCACAAAGGGGGAATGAAGGACCCAAAATAAAACCGGACAGATTAGTGGACTCCTCAGGACCGGGCATGGCTGAGCAATGGCTGGTTGAATTTTTCTTTTCTTCCTCATGCTCTTCATTTTCCCTTACGATCCCGCTTCTCCGCAAGTAAGAGACATGTCTCATTCGGAGAATGGGGCACGTCCGGTTGTCGTCTTCCGGCAACGGCTCAGCTAGTTGATCATTTCTGGGCCCTCTTGGTATTTTTAGTGTCTTCTGCGTAGTTAGATGGAGCAAACGTAATCCACAAGTGAGCGAAACAGCACATAACAAATTTTGAAATTAATAATTGACTCCACACCCATTAATATTTTGTATGATGAGAATTTTTGCTCATTCATAAAATCGACCTCACAAAGAAATCAAGCTTCTAATCTAGAAGGAAGGATTCTTTTTGCCCATTCAAGCACTTTAGTTCAAGGTCAAATATAAAGCTGCAGAAAAGCTGTATGATGTCTCTTATATAACTCTCTTTCATCGCGTAAATGGTTGAATGTTACGCGTCACTCGATAAAAAATTGAAAGCTTAGTCTTACAAAGGAAGAATCTCTTGTTCAATGAATTCTAGCTATAAATGAATAAATGAATGAGAACAGTCATTTTGAGTTGAATCTATATGAGAAATGACAAATCTTCTTCTTGTCAGTGAGAATTTGACTTATACTGTTCATTAGAATTGAATATGACATTTTGTCAACCGCTTTGAGAAATTAAAATTTAAGTTCTTTTGCAGATATAAATATCAACAAATACTATATGAGAATTTTGTAATTATATATAAATGTTTATACAAATATTTTTGAAAAATATGAAATTTTATTATATAATATTTTTAACCTTAATAAAAATAAAATTTAAATATAAATTATTAATAGTTAAAATAATAATTAATTATAATTAAAAAATTAATATTAATATTTTAATAAATATAAAAAATATATTATTTTTATTATTATAATTATTAAATAATAAATAAAATATATATAAATTTAAAATTTTAAAAATATATTTTTATTTTTAAAAAAAATTAAATAAAAAATTTATAAATTATTAATAATAAAAATATTAATAATAAAATAATATAAAATAAAATAATTTTTTTAATAATTATAATATTATTTTAATATAAATAATTTATTATAAAATTTTTTTAAATAAAAATTAAAATAGTTATATTTAAAATAATTATATTAAAGTTTTAATTTTATTATAAAAAAATTTTATTTAATATTATTTTTACTATTAAATCTATTTTTATTCTTAAAATATTTATATATATTAATATTTAAAATAAATAAATTTAATTTATATTTTTTAATTTTTAAAATTTTTAATAATTAATTAACTATTAAAATATATATTTTTTAATAATAAATTTTATATAAATAAGTTTATAGACTAATATAAATATTTTTTAAATTATAAATAATTTATTATTAAATATTTTATATTTTTTCTTAAAAATTTAAAAAATTAATTTATATTTTAAATATATTTTAAAATATATTAAAATTAAATCTATTTTAAATATTTTTATTAATTTTTATAAAATTTATATTTATTTTTATAAATTTTTTTAATAAATTTATTTTTTTACTTTATAAAAAATTATTAATATTATATTTAATAATATATTTATTATATTATAAATTTACTTTTTTATATTTTATAAAATTCAAAAGTTTTGATTTAATATTTTAAAATTTAATTATCTTTATTTAGTATATAAGATCTAAAAGTTTTTATTTTAAAAATAAAATTAGAAAATTTTATTTTAAAGATAAGATTAAATAGTTTTTATTTTAAGAATAATATTAAAAGTTTTTATTTTAAAAATAAAATTAAATTACTTTTACTTTAAAAATAAAATTAGAATATTTTTAATTTATATATAAGATTATAATATTTATAGAAAATTTTTTTATATATTAACTTTTATAAAATTTTTACTAATATTAATATTTTTTTAATTGATAATATTATTTTTTTTAAAATTAATACAATAATAATTTATATAAATAATTAAATTATATTATCAATTAAATAAATTATATTTTAAAATATTTAAAATATTTATATTTTTTTTATTTAATAAGTTTTTTAAAAAATAAAAAAATTATTTTAAATAAATATAAAAATAATACTCATATATTTTATCTGAAAGTTAAAAGTAAAGATAAATATTAATATTAATTATTTTATTATTAATTTTTTATTAAATTAAATTAAAATACTAAATTAAATAAATAAAAAATATTATAATAGTATTAGTTTTATAAATTAATTTTTAAAAATTATAAAATAAAATAATTAATTATTATTAATATTAATATATTAAATAAAAATTTAAATTATTAAAAAATTATTATATATATTAAATACTATATTAATTTTTATTTAATTTAATAATAATTTAACTAAAATTTATTTATTTTATTTTTTATTATAATTATATTTAATATGATAAATAAAACTTTTTATATTATTATTAATTATATAAAAATATTTAATATTTTTTAAAAAAATATAATTAATTGAATTATAAAATATTAATTTTTAATTAATATATATAATTTTATATAATTTAAATTAAATTTAAAATATTTTTATTTTAAAATATAGAAAAAATTTAAAAAAATAAATAATTTATTAAATATTTATATAATAATAAATAATAATATTTTTTATTATTTTATAATAAACTTTAAAATTTATTTTATAATAAATTTAAATATTAATATTAATATTAATATATATATTTATTTATTTAAAATTTTATTAATTATATTTTTAAATTATAACTTTTAATTTTAAAAATTTTTTATATATTTAAATATATTAAATTTTAAACTTTATTATTAAATAAAATATTTATTAATTTTATAAATATATTAAAATATATTTTATTTTAAAAAATTATTAATATTATTAATTTAAAATTTATTAATTTTATATATAAATATATATATTATTTTAATAATATTAAATATAATTATTATTATTATATAAATTTTTTATAATATAATTTAATAATAAAAGTTAATAAATGTTAAACTTAACGCCAGAAGTGGGCTAGGTTTATCCCTATCATGTGATCACATGATGGCACTTCACATGTAACCCAGTGGACCAGGATGATTTGATCATGTGATCATGTGAATTATTTACAATATGTCATGTGATCATGCAGACTGTTTATAATCTGAGTAGACTCTGACATCTTTTTTTCTCATCAATCTTAATATTTTATTATATAGCAGTTAGCAATATAGAGAGATTCTATCTTAGACAGCTTACATTTACTTTTTAACATAATATTAAAATTTCCTTCTATCTTTCACTCAGGTTTCAGTAAAAAATTTGAGTGTCTTAGTTGAATTAAAACCTGCTCATTGAGAATCTGACAATATGTCAGATCAGCTGTTGAAGAGAACAGCACAATCTGATATCAGATGATTACTGCAGACTCTTAACTCCTTGAAAAAGGTCAAAAGAACTGATGATATTTTTTAACAAGATCAACTGATCAATTACACATCTCAATTGAGAAATTCAAAGAGGCAGTTCACTCAGACAGTGACAGTGTTTATAATAAGTTGATAATGATCTTTGATAACATCTTTGATAATAAAAAGATATTGAGAAATACAATCACATGTCTGAGAATGAAATGGAATAATACTACTAATCAAACTGCTGTCAAGCAGAGTTAGATTAATGAGCTAATTACTGAACATGATGAATTTAATCACACTCTGATTCACATGACAGTCAGCAATCAAGCAGCAAGTTGAGATGTCATTCTCTCTGATACTTTCAGAAGATCTGTTAACATTGATGATCTGAAACATTTCACTAATGATAAGAAATTAAAATTTGAACACTGGCTCTTTCAGATGGAAGAACAAGCTCTGAGAAAATGCTGACCACTACTTCACTAAGTACATGAGAATTATATACATTGAAAACTGAACTGATGAGAACACAGCACATCATATTGCATCTTGTATGAAAGAGAACTACTCTGAGCAATATCAAACTGTAGAAGAGATATTTGAGCATCTCAAGTCAATATATGAGAATACTAACAAGCTGCAAAATGTCCAAAGTGATTATCACAAGCTGATTATGTGCAATGAGAACAACTATCATGAATTTATCACAAAATTTTTACATTTGACAGATGAGATCAAGATTGTCAAGAAAGACTATAAGACAGACTTCAATGACAAACTATTCTTTAATCTTTAGAGAATAATAGCAGTAGTCAATACAATCATTAATATATACTCTGAGTTTCAGAAAATCTGTGCTTAAGCAGCTCATACTCTTCAGACAATCAATGTCACTTAGAGATCAAAGAGCTTGTGAGAAAATGAATATAATATCTTCAAGCAGAACATCTTACAGATCTTCAATAGTCAGACTTTCTTCAGAATCTCTACTACAAAGTCCCTCATTATTATTAATAAAGTCTTAGATATTCATTCAAACATTCAGTGCTACTACTGCAAGGAGAAAGATGATATTGCAAAAAACTGCTCTGTGAAGTAGAAGTCTTAACAGATGATTACTGAGCTTACAGAAAATAATGTCTCTGAGTCTTCAGCAGATTTGAAAAAAAAGTAAGTCTGAGAGAAGATTTCATCTCAAATAGTTCAATAGTCTGTAAAAGATTTGAAATAAAGGACTTGATTGAGAGAAAAAGCTTTAATGTGCTAATTAAGTTAGTCTATAATGAGATTACTACTTCTATAAAATCTCTTGCTGATACTGAAGCAAATGATGTAAATTTTATTAATATATGATATGTCATAGAGTTGACAAGATTCTTCAATAAGAAGTTTCAAGAACTCTCATTTAAATGCCATATGAAGGGATATAATGATGCCTCTGATAGAGTGATAGACTGCATATTGACTTTAAATTTTTGAGTAAATGACTGGAGATTTCAGAATGTTCTTCTGCTAATAACAAATCTAGACTAGTACTTTGTCATACTGGAACAGAAGCGATTGACAGTATAGAATATATAACTTGATATTAAAAACCAAGATCTGATTTGATCAAGTGAATGATTCATCTTTAAACAGGTAGCAGAGTTAATGTTAAAGATAATATCTTGATCAATATTAAAACATCCAGACTTTAAGCCTGAGCACCAGGCAGATATGAAATGAAGAAAAAATCAAACTGAATGAGGAGATCAAACAGGAGCATCAAGCTCAGCTCTGTGAATCAAAAGGAATTATCTCAGTCAAAATGCTCAAGATAAGGCAGAAACTGATCTGAGAGAAGACAGCATCACAAATGATAAATATGAACTTCATCAGAGCTACTTTTTTTTATAATTATATGAAGAACAAGTACTCAACAGTCTTCATAACCAGTCTATATGAAATTAATAGATAGCTTGAGAAGAAGCAGAGTTTAGTGAGAGCTGAGAATGAGTCTGATGAAAAGCTGATTAGCAACTTATCAGAATGATTAAAAGATCAAGAGAACTGTTTCTCAAAAAAAGTATCAGACAAATTACCCTTTCTACAAAAGAATATTGATTTTAAAATAGAGCTTTAGTCTGATATTGATTTTATTCAGAGCATTGAACATGTGTCTCTATATAAGATGAATCTAGAAGAGCTAGAGGCAGTGAAGATCTATCATAAAGTCAATCTAGTAAAGAACTTCATCATATCAAGTTCAGTTCTCTACACCTTCTCAATTCTGATTATTCATAGTGAGAAGAAGCTATGATTTTGTGTTGACTTTTACAAACTGAATGCTATAATCAAATGAAATCAGTACTTTCTATTTCTAATAGATGAGCTGATGAATCAACTCAACAGAGCAAAATACTTTACAAAGCTAAACATTCAACAGAGGTTCTATTGCATTCAGATGAGCTCTGAGTCTGAGAATCTAATCATCTTTAGAATCTGTTATGGAATCTATAAATATTGAGTAATTCTCTTTGATTTTACAAATATCTCTATTTGCTTTCAATGATTTGTTAACAATATCTTCTTTGACTATCTGAATAAGTTTATGATAGCATTTATAGATGATCTGTTAATCTATAGCAAGAATCTGAAGGAGCATAAGTAGCAGGTAAACTCAATGCTAAACTGACTAAAGAGAGTAGATTTGCAAGCCAGCATTTAGAAATATAAATTCACAGTTCAGAAAATGAAATATCTAGAGTTTATCATCAGTATAGAAGAAATTAAGGCAGACTCAGAGAAGACAGCTGTTATTGTGAGATGACAGGTCTTTACCACAGTTAAAGAAGTTCAGTCATTTCTAGAATTTAGTAATTTTTATCAATAATTTATAAGAAACTACAGCTGAATTGTAAAATCACTGTATCAGTTGACAAAGGAGACTATCTCATTTGAGTGAACATCAGAATGCAAGTCAGTCTTTGAAAAACTGAAGAGATAGCTGATGAAGACTCCAACACTGCATTACTATGACTCTGAGTGAGAGATTTATAATGAAACTGATATCTTTGATAAAGTGATGACTGAGATACTAAGTTAAAGATTTGAAAATGATCTTTGATATTCAGTAGTCTTCTATTCAAAGTCAATGAATGATGCAAAGCTTAATTATGAGATTCATGATAAGAAAATACTGACAGTGATCTGAGTCTTATAAGAATGATGAGCAGAGCTTGAGAGACTACAGTGAGAGAAATGATTTAAGATTTTCACTGATCATTGTGTATTGAAATACTTTATGATTATCAAGAAGCTAAATATACATCAAGTCTGCTGAGCAGAGTTTCTTTCTCATTTCTACTTTGAGATTAAGTATTGATCAAATAAGGCTAATTTGCTGATAGACACACTGAGCAAGTCTGAGCAGATTAGAAGATAACAGAATAATCATATGCAGATTTTTCTAAAATTAAAGACTTTTGATTCTCAGATCACTTCTTCTATAAATATTGCTAGCATTAACTTCTATAGAGAGTTAAGCTGTAAAAACTAGAGGCTAGTCCTTCTATATAACAAGGATGAATTGCTTGAAAAAGGGAAGAAAAGAATAAGATAAGAACATAAGCTTAAGCAAGCTCACATAGCATGATCATATGCGCACATGCAAACAATGACTAGGCTGAGTCAGCCAGTCAGAGTGAATCTAATAGTTCAGCCTCTTATAATACCCCTCTTCTCCCTCTTTATTGCAGGCCTTTATGACTATTTAAAGTCCTCTTTACATCTAATTTTGCCTGCTGAGAGGCCTCTCAAGTGTTCAAAGCCTTCACTTCTTGTAAGAGACTTGTGTTATTCCATGTAGGCTCAGCCTAATGTACTCATTTAACAAGGTATTACTTTTTCCTCTGGTAGGTTCATTCACTTCAAATTTCCTTAATCTCAAACTCAGGTCCTTCTGAGGTCTCTATAGTGAGTGGCTATCAGTCAGTTTGCCTCTGACTAGGCAAGAAATCTGTTGCTGCTGCATGTAGAAGCTTTACATTAAAGATATTATGAATGTCAGATGAGATATTCAGTTGATAAGTATGAGATTCTATCTTTTCTAGCACAGTATATTGATTATATTTCATGTTCAGATTCTTGCATAGATGATTAGTTCTTATGTTTTCTAAGCTCAATCAGATCTTATCTCTGGGTTGAAAGCTTGGAGCTGAGTCTCTTCATCTATTCATATAGTTCTCTTGAGATTGCTGAGTATCTGTCATTTTTACTTGAGTTCACTTCAACACTTCATAAGTCTTTCTCATATAATCATCTGCAAACTCAATGGGATTATGTGATATTTCAATGAGGAGTGCATCAGCTATATCAATGAAGAAGATATGAAAAAGATGTGTTAAAAGGAACAGATTCATGTCTGTTGAGACAGCATCTCTATTATTAATAATCAGCTCTGCTAGAGAGAGTCATTCACACCAGTCATTCTGTTGAAAGCTAATGTACTTGTGTAGATAGATTTTCAGAGTCTGATTCATTCACTCTGTAGCTCTGTCAGTTTCTGAGTGATAGACTGTGAAGAGTTATCTCTTAATGTCTAATTTCTCACACACTCAAGTTCAAAACATGCTTATGAAAGTCAACTCTCAATCTGACACTATCACCTTAGGAATACCATGTTGAGGGATGATGTTGTGAAGAAATACTCTAGTCACTGTCTTTGTATCAGTTTTCTTAACTGCTTTTAATATAATCTTCTTAGTCAGTCTGTTCATTATAATTATGATGTTCATATATTCTTTAGAGCTCAGTAAGTTCACAATAAAGTTCATAGAAAGCTTCTGCCATATATGTTCAGAAATGAGAAGAGGCTTAAGCAGTCCCTGATGTCAATCTCTCCATGTGATGTTTGATCTGCAAAGATGACAGTTCCTAATCATTCTTCTCACATTGATGGCATAGCCTGACCAGTAGAACTCATATATTAGAACTCCTGCCATTTGCTCTCACCTGGGATAACTGGTAAGAGATGAGTCATAAGCCTCATGTACTAATCTAGTTCAAAGAGGTTTGAAGTCTGGCACTCACTTATGATCTTAAAAGAGAAGTTCTCTGTTCTCATTTAAAGAGCACTCAGAGATAGAGATCTTAATGCTGAGTTTAAAAGAAAATCTGAATCTTCTCTCATGAAGAGTTTGCTTCAGACACTGCAGGATCTTGTCATTTTTGCAGACCTCATTTCACTGAGCTTGAAGAGACATCTTAGGTTTCACACTGGCAGCAGTCACTATTGATTTCATTTCAGGTGCCAGTACATTAAACTTAAGTAGTTGAGCTTGCCTCTGCTTGATTCTCTCATCATCAGTGCTCTGTGGCATGTTCTGCTCTCTTTGTGATAGAGTATCTAATTCAGTGTTTAACTTTCCTGGTCAGTGATCAATTCTGAAGTTGAATTGATAGAGAATATTCATTCAATGTAGCTGTCTTTTATTTAGTCTGTGTGTAATCATGAAGTATTCTAGATTCTTATAATCTGTGAGAATCTTGAATTCCTTTACACTTTGTAGCTCAGTGTCTCATTTCTTTAAACAGTCAATTATTACTAATAACTTCTTATCATGAATCTCATAGTTGTATTCCACAGGTGAATGCTTGTGAGAGAAGAAGGCACATGAGTGTAGAATACTCTGCTCATCATATTGTAGCAGCACTTCTTCTGAGACATAATTTGAGAAGTCTGTTTTCAATATAGTCTCATGATCAGAGTCAAATTAAAGCAGGATTAGAGCAGAGATAAACATTGATTTTAGATACTTAAAAGCTTTCTCAGCCTTGCTCATCTACAAAAAAGAAACATTCTTATGTGTAAAAATTGTCAGTGAGGTCATGATCTTTGAGAAATCCCTGATAAATTATCTATAGAAATTAGCAAAGCCTAAAAATCCTTGTATATCTTTAAGAGTAGTAGGTGTTGCTCATTCTAAAACAGCTTTAATCTTCTCTGAATCCATTCATATACCCTTGCTCACTTCAATGATGAATTCAAGATATTTTGTGCTGTTCATCTTGAACTCACTTTTTCTGATGTCTGCCTGCAGACCTGCTTTCTATAGACATATAAGCATCTTTTGTACATGCTCATGATGCTCCCATAAGCTTCTTGAGGAAAATATCAAGATGTCATCTAAATAGACTAAGCAGAAGTCATTCAGATATCCATGTAATGCTCAGTTGATATATTTTTAAAATGTACTCAGAGCATTGGCCAAATCAAAGAGTGTAATCAGTCACTCAAATAGTCTGTATCTGATTCTAAAGACTGTCATTCACTCATCACCTTCTGTGATTCAAATCTTGTGAAAAGCTGCAATAATGTTCAGCTTAGTGAATCATTTAGTCTGTTTAATTCACTGTAGAGTTTCACTGATTAATGATAGAGAATATCAATCCTTTCAGATGATTTTGTTAAGAGCTTGATAGTCTATACAGAATCTTAGCTCACCTTCAGACTTCTTCACAAATAGTACAGAGGTGGCTGCAGAGGAGTTGCTCACTATAATAAAACTCTTATCTAGATAATCTGTAAGAGTCTTTCACAAAACCAGTAGTTTCTCTCAAGACATATTATATAATGAGCCTCAAGGGGGTTGTTCCACACTATCATCAGTCTTTTTAATCAGTTCAATCTCATGATCTCTATCTGAGTCATGAAGTGGAGGTAGAGTGTCAGCAGCTTTCTTATCAAATATGTTCAAAAACTCATGATAATGTTCAGACAGCTTTTCTCTAGGGTCAATCTTTGATTTCACTTCTAGAGTCTTTTGAATGTCAGTCAAACTGACAGTGAAGATCTTGATGTTTCACTTCTCTCAAGTGCTCACAAGTCTAGAGAAGCTTATAGCAGAGATGGAAATCACATCAGCTTTTGCATTTGAACTAGGCTCTACCTCTATGCCACTCTCTTCAAATCTCATAATTCTTTGATGAGAGATCACAGTTGCCTTTTGCTGGGCCAGTCAGAGGTCACTTATATATATATTATGACTATGTAACTCATTCACCATGTAGAGAAAGGTCTGTTCAGTTACATGATCATCTATATCAATTTGAATGCTAGTCACTATGCTCATGGAGAGTCCCATGGAGTCTTCAAAGTCAGTCATTTTAACAAGGGGAATTTCAATGCATGAGAGCTTATGCTTGTTAATATAGAATTGAGAAATAAGATCATAGACATTACATTCACTGTCTATCATTGCTCTAGTTGAAAAAGCATTATCTACTAGAGTATCAACAGTGAATGGTTTAAATATCATCTTAGATTTAAATCTTCTTCATTGCTTTCTCATAAGCTTCTTATTTTGCTTCTTTCAGTGTCTTTTAGTTGAAGCTACTCTTTTCCTGAATTCTCACTCATATCCATATCATTGTCATTCAGTACTGGCTTGAGGATCATCTTAGCTATCATAAGAGTGGCAGAGTATCTGAGAGGTTTGAACAGACAACTCTTAATCATATGATCTTCAGCTCTGCATCTCAGGCACAGGTCTTGCTCTCTTTGTTGATTAATCTCTGTCTGATTTATCAATTTGATGTGGCAGGTGCTTGAGGTCACAGCATCAGGAGAGAGATTCATCAGATCATCAGCAGAAGCTTGAAACTGATTTCATCAGTCAAGAATAGCATGACAAAGTAGAGAGTGTGAATTAGACATTGTATGATCTGAAGAAGATCTGCTCTCACAATATTTAGATCACTGTCTTAAAGTCTTAAGCTCAGAGAATTGATGATCAATTAATCTAAGCTCCTTGCAGTAATTCTCATAGAGAGACAGTTCTCTTACACTCATCATGTCTTCCCTCAGCTCCATGCTTAGAGTAGATTTCAAATATCTCTTTTTAACACAATCATCTCATCTGTGATCATCAGTTTCCAGCAGTAGCTGATTAAATTCAGACAGAAAGTCAAAGAGAGCTCTTCTACTCTATTATAGATTGTTGAGCTTTTGCATAGTCTTTTCCTATCATGCAGAATCACTAAAGAGTATGTGTATCTGCTTCAGTAAGCTCTCTATCATGAAGTTGATCTTGTTCTTATTATTCTCAACTTAGAGGTAAACTTGAGCTGCTGTCATTCCTTTCAGTCTTGAGTACACATACCAAGCACATTCCTCATTGTTACCTAAAGCTTTTCCATTGATCTTAAGTTTTGATTGAAGCTTTAGCTCTCACTGAGAGTAGTGCTTCAGATTAAAATCATTATACTTCTCACAGTCTGATAGCTTGATCTTTGATCTTCTGACTGCAATGAGTGATTGCAAGTTCAACTGAAAGAGGATTGATGTTGAAGTGTTCAAAGCTTGTCATAGATTAGCTATTTCAGCTTGCTGAGCTGCTATTAAATCTCTGTTCTCACACTGAACCTGTTCCTGCTATTGAAGAAAAGCTATTCATTGTTGTTCAAAGCTGCTGAGAGCGTCCCTGCTCATTGCTTCATATTGATCCATTTGTGTATTCATTGTACAAGTCTGTCATCAGTCTATTCATATATCAGTACTATCACTGAACTTTGTGATGCAGGATTTAAGACTCTCAATAGCCTGTTATATGTCAGCATATTTACTGAGCTTCATGATACAGAATTAAGACTTTCAGTGACCTATCAATGAAAGGAGTGTAGCAATTTGTAATGTAGAGGATTAAGCTCTAAGAACTAGAGACTAGTCCTCCTATATAACAAGAACGAATTGCTTGGGAAAGGGAAGAAAAAAATGAGATGAGAACACAAGCTTAAGCAAGCTCGCGTAGCATGATCACGTGCGCACATGCAAACGATGGCTAGGCTGAGTCAGCCAGCCAGAGCGAATCTAGGGGTTTAGCCTCTTATAACTTCTCAGAGAAAGAGAGCATTGCTGAATACATAATGTTTTTAAATAAGATAGTCATCTCAATTGAGCCTCTGCAGCAGCAGATCAATAATGAGAATAACTTCTATACAATGAAAGATAATGTGCTGCAGTACAATGAAAGACTAGTAGTGTCTATTTGAGAAAAAAAAACTCTAATAGCTGAGCTACTGTAGAAAATTTATGATTAAGCTTCAACAGCATACTTTGAAGAATAAAAGATTTTGATTCTGATGCAATCATACTATTGATGAGTCATCTGGCAGACAGATGTTCTACACTATATTCAGAACTATCATATATACTGAGTCAGTAAAATTTCAAAAAATAAAACTTCTGACTTATTAAAATCACTACTGATATCAGAACAGATATGACAGTATATTGCAATGAACTTTATGAATATATCAAAAAGTAAAACATATTATAATATCATTTTGATTATAATATATTAGCTAAGCAAGAAGATGATCTTCATTTCAATCACTTAGAGAGTTACAGCCCAGGAGCTAGTTTGACTATTTATTCAATTCTACTACTCATACAATAAGGCATTTGACTCAATTATCTCTGATTGAAACTTCTAGTTCATATCAAGCTTTTGAAATAAATTTATATAGATTCTGAGCATAAAACTGAAACTCTTAACAGCATATCATGTACAAACTGATGAATAAACAGAAGTGACAAATCAATATATTGTCATTTATCTTGATCTTTATGTCAATTACTACCAAGATGATTGAGATAAGTGACTGCTCATTATAGATCACATCTCTACAGCTACTTCAAATGCTTTTATAGAGATCTTTTTCTTTCTCATAGCAAATGAATATGAATCATGAATGTCATTTAACTGACAATTACTAGTGAAAAAATTGAATATGAATAAGAGAAGAAATTGAGAGACAGCAAGAAGCTTTATTCACTGAATGAGAGAGATCTGAAATAAAGCAAGCAAAAGTATAAGAACAGTACAGAAACAGATGAAAAGACAGACTGACAAGCATCATCAAGAGTCTGACTTTGCAATGAAAGATTATATTTATCTGACATTGAAGTCATACAGAATAAATTGATCAAGTTATAAACTAGCAGAGTAGAATGCCAGCCTCTTCAGAATTCTGAAAAAGATGAGTAATGTCTACAAACTGAATCTCTCTGCAACAATAAAAATTCATTTAATCTTCTTCTCAGACAAGCTATGTAAAAACTTCAAATATCTTCTATCTGGCTAAACTGCTAGACTACCAGATCCAATTGAAATAGATGATGAGAATGAATGAGAAATAGATCATATACTGGCCAGTTGAATAAGCTGAAGCAAGCTGCAGTATCAGATATGCTGAAAAAGATTTGATGAAAATTCTTCATGACATTTTGCTCACAACTTTAAGAGATTACTATACACAATACAGGATTTCTACAAAGCTAATTCTATAAAAGCCAGACCACTGAAATGCCTAGATGAATGGGTAAGAGCATGGGAGACAGGCAGCTATCTGAAAGATGAAGATGATGACAATCTACCAGCATGAGAGCATGTTCATTTCTAGATCAGAGGGTGATGTTAGGCTCAGTGCCAGGGGGGGGATAGGTTTATCCCCATCATGTGACCACATGATGGCACCCCACATGTAACCCAGTGGACCAGGATGATCCAGTCACATGATCACGTGGATTGTTTACAATATGTCACGTGACCACGCAGGCTGTTTATAATCTAAGCAGACCCTGACACCCCTTTTCCTCACCAACCTTAGTATTTCGTTATATAGCAGTTAGCAACGCAGGGAGATTCTATCTTAGACAGCTCATATCCGCTCCCTAACAATAAATAAAAGTTTAATTATTAATATATTATATAAAAAATAAAAATAATACTAAAAAATTATTTTATATTAATAATTATATAATTAAATATATATATAATTTAAATATTAATTTAATTTAAATTAATTATATATTAAATTATAAAACTATATTTTAAATATTTTTAATTATAATTTTTTAATAATTAAATAATTATAATAAATATTAATAATAATTTAATATAGAAAATATTAAAAGTTTTTATATTTAAATTTTATAATAATATTTTAAATTTAATAAAATAATAATTAATATTATTAATTAATTAATTTATAAATTTAATATATATAATATTATTTATATTAATTATAATTATTTAATTTATTAAAAAATTATTAAAAATTGATAAATATTTAAAAATAATTTAAAAAATAATATAAAAATATTAAAAAATTTATTTTAATATAAAAATATCTATTTATAAATTAAAAAAATAAAATAATAGATGTTTAAAATATCTAATAGATATAATTCCAATAAAGTTATAATTGTTAAAAAAGCTGCTGTAGAAATACAGACAAATATAAAGATTTTTCAACAACTTAATAAATTAGGCAGAGAAAAACTGTTACGGCGCAGCTGCTTGTATATGGATTAAGGTTGATACGCCCCGCTAAGCTCTAAAGGTTGACCTGTTCCGACCTCAACCATATTCAGTTGCTCATGTTGATCCGATCCGATTCTCAACCACTATATATATTCGGCTGCTCGTTCATTCTTCATTCTAATCCTCAGTTTAGTATTCTCGTCGCAGCTGCCTAGTTAGATAGATGAATTGACGCTGTTGTCTTGTTATCATCCTGATTTTAATTGAGCCATGACAAAAACAGCAGATGAGAAATGAAAATCACACTCAGATAAGCTTCAGAGCACTGAGTAAAGCAGTTGAAAGACATCTGAGAAGTGACTGAGAAAAAGATAAAATGCAAGACAAAATCAGTCTGTAAGAAACAACGGTATGAAAGCACTGAAGAAAACTTAACCTTAATGTAAGAGTGTCTGTTTATGAATTAGAAAAGATAAAATCATATTTTTATTATATGATTCATGTCAGAATTATATTTTGAAACTAAATTTGAACACTCTATTGGCCCAAGTTACTCTATATATCAAACATCACCAGTAGAAAATTCGCAGCTAGAACTGCTCTCTTCAAAAGCGAGCTGGAGTTCATGATTATACTTCTTATCAGACAATTTGACCGTAACAAAACTTTCCCACATCTACTCCTTATTAAAAGGGCATAATATCATCAATGTCCTCAGAACAATGCTTAGATAGCAAGGGGAGGATATTCTCATAGAATAACCTGAAGAGGCCCGTAGGACTAGAGAGCGCCAGGGTATACCAGAATGTTCCATGACCTCCGACAGTTGTGGCATTGTTCCTCAGACATCTGCTGATACAGCAGAGATGGATCAGTTTGTCTGCTCAGCTTTCAGGATGGTCATGAATTCCGTTTGAAGCATATCATTTTCATCTGCATAAATCTCATCCACGCTCTTATTTGTCAGCCAGTAAGGAGGTTCAACCATTTCAAATGGCCGAGAACATGCCAATTTGAGATCAATCAGACATGAGATATGCCAATTATGATCGACAAAGATATTGCTTCGATGCAAATCTGTCAGCGTAAATATGAAAGGTCCGCGGCAGAATTTCTGCTTGAAGAGTAATGGGAATTTTGCTCTCATTGTCTCCAGCGCCGACATCTGATAGCTGCAATCCTGTAGGTTATTCATAGAATCAGGCCGATTTCGGAGGCGGATGTCATGAATTACAAGCATATCCACCACATAAGACTAAACAGTGTAATAGTTGTGGTCACGGGGCATATATATCGGAGTTTTAATCGTTTTCTCAAATGCAAGTGGGCGATAAACGCAAGAATCCATTGCAGTCGATGATAGAGAAGCCAATCTGTGGTAAGGGTATTCGGCTGATACTCAGCAAGATGCCGGGAAAGATCTCGAAAAAAAGTTGGTCAGTAATTTGACGTCATGCTATTTTCCCAGCCAAGTGATGGAGAACATTGTTCCTTGAGTTTGATCAATGCACTCTACCAACAGATACACGGCACCTATCACACCGTCTTGAGAAGTTTGGGTTCTGTCCGAGTGACGGCATTAGCACGAAGGCGCTAAGAGGCCGAAAAATGATAACAGTCAGCGGCGTAAATATTTATCGAACGTAATATCGGTATATATCTATATCTAATACTGTCTTAAGAGAATATGCAGTAATTTGATCTAATTTATATAGAGGTGTGGGTGATGCTAGTATAAGTGAGATATAAGAAGAAAGATCAACAGGAAAGATCAACAATATTGAAGGCATCGATCTAGAAAGGGTAGGTTTTCAAATCCGAGTGAACTAGATTTTCCAATTTAGTCGATATGCTACTGTCAAGAACAGTTGGATTCGAACCGTTTCACCTGTTGACATGGAAAGCCATACAATCGTGGAATTGGTACGTCTGGACAGTTTTCTTCAAAGCCATGCATAGGCACCAGCCTCACACTGTATCTTTTCATCGCCATTCCCATGCCGAAAGCCCTCCCCAACACGATATGGAAGAGAAAATCGAGGGAGGACACATTGTCCTGATTGCTGCTTGCCCTTCCAGTTATCTATAGTAACTGGGACACGTTGAAGCTGCCGCAGAACCCGTCCTTCATGTCTGCTACATGACATACTTCGGTGGATCTTAAACCCAGATGGTGGATAATAACATCTCTCATCCACACACGTTTGTCGTTGAGGTGAGAGAAGAAGCGAGTTTGTTGGTCACTGTAGTTAGCCCAGCTCGTGAATTGACCCTCCGCTCCTTGGCAAGAGAGTACGTTATTTTCTCTTCAGGAGACGGCGTGTTCTCAGCATATTTAATGTAGAGAATGTTTCTGAAGCGACCTCCGCTGAGTCTCCGCTGAGTCGTCGGTGTCTTTTTTTTTTGTTGGCAATGTGCTGTAGGTCCAGCCCCTGAAATGCCAAGAGTGAGTGAGTGAGTGAGTGAGTGAGTGATATTCCTGAACTAACTAACTATATAATGAATGTACAGAGGGTTCTATGAAGCGAGAATAAGCATTGAATCCAATTGAGTGAAAAATCACCGTTCTTTTCGAATTCCTTGCTCCATCCTAATCTCTTACCAATGTCACCCAGTATTTATAGACTGCGGACCGTTCGCTTCCCCCCTATTTTTTCTTATAATCTGTGGCTTACAAAGATCAATGAAACAGCATGCGCTGGGGCAGAGATTTCCGAATTCCGAAGAATTGAAGCAAAATAAATGAAAGCTAGTTTTGTGGCATTTGTGATAGATAATTTTTGGATGATGGTGGTCGCTTGGGCAGCGAGCTTGCCGGCCGCCGTTTGACAGGTTCGTAGCTAAAATACGCAGTATGTATAGGCCGTGTGCGGGGAGCTAGTCACATTCCGCACACCGTTCGTCAACCCCTATAACTCAACTAATTATCTGACCTCCATACGCTGCGAGCCTCCCGACCTGATAATTAAAGTATTTGATCTCCCGGCCAAGAGGCTGTTCACTCCTCCTGCCACCAATAAGAGAAGTAAGAGCATCCAACCGTACGTAAACCTATTTGTAAACTTGTAACTTAGCTTAGTTAACTAGCTAGATATAACTATGTTTAAGGACGTCATTGTTGGGAAGGGGTGGAAGCTCCGTACGGATATCAAGAAGACTTAAACTTACCTACACAACTGCAAGAGCGTTGGATGTTCACAACAAGAAGCCGAGCGAGCATACGGAATGTTTGCATCTCGTCTCATTCTCTCGCAAAAGAAAATCCGCACATTGCCCAAGAAGCAGAGCATATGAAGAGAGCTAGATCTCCTTCGCAGTTGGCATCTCTATCTCTCTAATCGGAGCCCACGTTCACCTGACTCCTAAAACGGCTTTGCCATAGTGGAACTGGCTGTGGAGGTTAAGAAGTTACTCCGTACGGACCATGGAGGCCTTCCTCCACAACCCCATGTGGGAGGGAGGAGAGAGCAGGGGAGAACTTGCTTGGCTTCACCGTATGAAGACGGCTACTGGTTACAGAGCGCCACGTAGAGGTGCAAGTTCCTGCCCTGGGTGTTGTACACAGACTCCGTTCGACTGGAGGAAATGGAGATCATACATACCTGAACCCCGCAGCCCAAGAGGGGGGGAGAAAGAGAATGAAGCAGAGGGAGCAGAGAAGAAGAGAGATCATACGAACCTAAACAATGACAATGGGATTGTTCTCGGTCCCTGTATGAGGGATCATACGCCTCCTCAGCGCCGGACGACCGGGGGCAGGACGGCAGCGGCGGGGGACGCTTGCAGGACGGAGGAGGGGTGGAGGAGGACCGCTATGGTGTGTCTCAATTTGTCCAGGCCGGAGTCATCCTCCTGAGCATCATTGCCATCTCATACGGAGCATCTAGCTCTGTGATCGCGCCACTTGCAATTCCCACATGCACCCCCAAAGTGCCCTGGTAGCCGAATGCACTCAGGAAAGGGGCGAGGACCATCAGACTTGCGTCGACCAAGCGACACAGACCTGAGGCTTCACCACCATTCCTCGGGACTGGATGAGGATGCTGTTGATGTACGATGGCCCGCTGGCTCCGCACCTGGGCTTCTGTCATACTCCCGCGTACGACCAGTACATCCCGCCCTGAAGGGCAAGGATGGCCTGACTCTGAGAGCTGAAGACAAGAGGAGCGAGCTGCTGGCTCGCAACATAGAGAGTCTGATATTGCGGCAGAGCATCATTGTTTCCGCTCAAAGCCCTGCCGTACGGAGGTCAGCTCACAGTTCAGCAAGGAGGCAGCGAACTTACATTCTTGACTTGGTAAACTGCTTCCGTACAACGCGTTAGCCAGTTGCTCTGTGAGTGGAGGGGTTGGGTACTTAGTCTGCGTGTGTTTGTACGTACAATTTTTTTGTGTGGGTGAGAGAGAGCGAGAGCAGGATGCAGAGCTTTGCTTCTAAGGCTTCTGCAACAGCCACTAGCCACCCAGTCAGTCTTCGTACGCCTCCGTTGTTGAAAATTTTACAAGGCAGGCAGAAGATGGGGAAACAGATGAGCTTACTGGACACACGATGTCCTATAGGCCGGCGTATGCAGTCAGTGAGCAGCTCTTCTTCCACCCTCCCCACCATCACCTCCTTCGTGTACGAACGCGTTAGAAAGCGTCTCCACCAAGAAGACTGCTCTCTGTCATCCGTACACAATGCATACAACCTATCCACGATGTCTCAGCACTGTACGAAGGCGGTTACTCATGGAGAAACACTGGTTTGTGGGACGAAGGGGAGAAGAGGAAGAGAGGCAGGGTATATTTTCACTCTGTGCTGCATGCCACCACGCGTACGAACTAGTTCCAAAGAAGGCATTCACCTCTATACTCTATATAACACTCCATATACAACATCCTATAGAAACACAATTCATATAGCTTGGTACGCCATGCAGGAAAGACAGAGAAAGCACAGCAATCTCCCTCCATCCTCTCAAGAGAGGGCCAGGTCCGGGTTTTTCTTCAAGGCCATGACAAGAGCAGGAAGAGTGAGCCTTTGCTGCGTTCAAACTTCATCAAGCTCCTGGGGCGCCATCCAGAAAGTTCCACTGTTCACCTGATTCCTTCATATGAAAGCATCAATGATTGTGAGCCGGCAGCCGTACGCATCTGCTTCTTGGCAGAGGGACGCCAGACAGCGCCATACCTCTCATCCAGCTCTCATATAACAGGTCCATGATTCAAACCCACAGACCATTCCCTCCACACCTCCTCCACAGTGGTGGCCTCGCGATTAATTTCATAAGCAGGCGCCACATCATCAACAGCAGAAACAAAACCAGCAGAAGCAGAGGAACTAGCAGTCGTACGATCAGCGGCCAGGAGGGGGGCGAACGCAGAAGGTACAGGCGCGGGCGTGAGTGCAGGGGTGGTGGCGGGAGCAGGGGCAGAAGCAGGGGCAAAGGCGGACGTGGATGCAGGCACAGGCGCAGGCATAGGCGCAGGCGCGGGCGCAGTTGTGGGTGCGTTCACAGGTGCGAAACCAGAAACAGAAGCAGCGGCAGCGGCAAGAACAGACAAAAGAGCAGAGGCGGCATATGTACGATGAACATGAGCACCATCTCTGGCGGCTTCAGCAGCGGCAGCACCAGCATTGATTGCAGCAGTGACTATATTGAAAGTGCTGGACCAAAATTCTGCGCAACTGCATCATTCTGCTCCATCATCAGATTTGTACGGGAAACAGCCCTGGCTTCAATTGCTCTTGCATCAGTGACAATCTGCTGGTGCTGTGTCTGCAGCAGAGTCATAAGAGCAGGCAGCACACCAACACACCTGAACCTCCATGGGCTCCTCCCGATCGTCCGCCCAGGCCGTGCGTATGATGTCTGCAAAGACCTGGTACTCCTCCTCCCCAAACAGCGGATCATTCCAGAAGGGGTGGTCAGAAAATTGGTCTCAGAACAAGATGGAATCCTGCAGAATAACAAAAAAAAAAAAAAAACGTTCAAAGCTTGTCCAGAAGATGAGGAACCCCTGCACAGCCATCTCATCCACAAATACAGACACTGGCAACAGCAATGATGACTTGTTCATGATTTCATATGACTCAAATCAGCTCAGTCACTCATTCACTCATGACCACAGCTTTTGCACCAGAGTCCTCAGCGGCTCCTGCACTCATAGAAGATGATAGGCTCCGTGCATGGAAGATGAGAACCCAGTCCTCTCTCATACAAACGTCAGAGGGATGTGAGGCAGGTAACAGTTGAAGAGAGCATCATTGTTTCATCATCTCACCTGGTGAATCTAAACCTCACTCAACCCCCTCAGCTCAGCTGTCATTGTCTTGAACTTTCATTTGAAGTGAGTTTTCTTTAGTGAGCTGAGCTACACAGCATCTAACACCTTTACATTCACTTCAGACAGGTCTTATACCTCATCTCACACTTAACATTAGCTCTCTTGAGAAGATGGAGATTGTATTGGATCTGACAGTGCTGAAAATTTGACACTGACTTCTGTATGAAGTTTCCGCGGGTAACCAGATAAAAGATCAGGGTGGACATGATGCACTGCAGGGGATCCTGATGCTGTATGACACTGCCATATTCAATATGATCAAAGTCATTGATTCATAATGAGAATCAAGGCATTGCAGGCAGGGGAACCCTCATTCTTGAAGGGAACAGTGAACAGATTCATCAGCTGAATGAATCTCTGATTATCTGAATGAAGTTGCATGTTCAAACTGATCAGGAGATTGAGGTTCATACGGAGGTAGGCCTCTGTACTCTGGGCTGAGTTGTTCATGCAGCTCTGCTTCCAGCAATTCTCCAGCAGCTATATGAGACTCTTGACTGCTGTGAAATACATTCAGCATGGTGTTGACATCTCAGTTCGCTTATTTTACCTTCTGCTGCTTGGTTTCCTTTCTGGCCCATCCCATGTACAAAGTAGGGTATCAACTATTTTAGAGGTGCATGGATGAGGTAGTAAGTGCATATAACTGGAGATCTGAAATTTGTAGAGATTCATTAGCGCAAATTTATACTGCTCCACAGGGGCGGCCCCCAGAGTCTGAACGACTGATGCTCCGTCTGCTGTCGTACACTCAGCAGTCTTGTATCAGGAGGAATGAATCTTCTGATTCAGAGTCTGCTTCAGAAAGAGAGCCATTTTCTGATCAGTGACAAACTCATCTGGGAAGTTTCTCTGCCGGCACCATGTCTGCCCTGTACGAGTGAAAGAAAAGAGTCAGCCTGACACCTATGACATTGTACAGAATTCAGCTCTGCAACTAACTGAACTCCTTCTGCTTTGACCTGTACGCCTGTTGCGTACACTTGGGTCTGCTTTTGCCAACCCTCCAGTATAATCTGCCTGGCATTTCCATAGAGCTGAGCCTCCAGATCCAGCAGCTCTCTTGCTCTTGATCCACTTCCACGGAGGCATCTGCCTGGGGAAACAGGGGATTCATCTTTCAAGGCGGCTCCGTAAGGTGACAGGGGAAGGTAGAAAAACAAACAGTGCTCATGGGTGCATGCAGGGGCCAAGGCAGGAGCGTACGGAGAAGGGGAGCAGGGGAGCAGGGAGAAGGGGACCGGGGGATTGAGAACAAGAGGGTTGCAGGCCGGGCGGGAGGCCTCGTGTGAGGGCGATCTCCCCTTACTTTTGCATTTTACAAAGGCCTTCATCGACGGGGGTTAGAGGCGGGGATTGGTTGCAGACAAGTGCTCAATCTGATTGGCTGACAGTAGTGAAAGGGCTTACACCGACCTTTCCTAGCTAGGTTAGATCATTAACTAGCTGCCAACCACATCCCCCCTAGGAAGCCGCGCGACTTGGCCCAAGCGCCGTTTACCCATAAGCGCACCTAATACAAAACAGCCGTAGTCACACCTGAGCCAAACCCAGCTTTTTATTTTTGAAAACTTCCCGCTTTAATTCCTCTGCTTATGGTTAGCGAGTGTCTGGAAATCTGCCAACCACTTCAATTGGCTGGATATTAAGTGATGATGATGATGGGGTTAGGCCTTCGTGGCAGTGCTTCAGAACAGCGGCCCCCCGGGGGGGGGGTAACTTAAGACCGATTGCAAAGGGGTAAACACGATATGAGGGTTAGTGTGATCGAGTAGAGATATGGTTCCTCTTAAACTTTTCTAGGTAAAAGGGGCAAAGATACATATATAGAAAACTGGGTAAGCAGGGATGAAATGTATCATATCCTATTCATTCGCTAAAAGTTGATAGATAGAGGGGGGGAAGGCGGACCAGAATATAGTAGAATTGAATAAGAAATATATGGATATCTTCGGTGAAAAGAAAATCAAGATTGGTTTGAAGCAAAATGACAAGAGGAGGGAAAATTTTACACGGAAAATAGCGATTCAGGGATTCACAAATGCGACTTGTCACAATCGCACTCCTTTCCCCCTCCCCCAAAAATATGCAAAAATGGCAGGGTTGGTCTTTTTCGGTTTTCGTAACTCTTGTTAGCATCAAAGGAAAAGGAAAAAGAAAGGAGTGAAGTCAAAAAGACGTTGGAAAACAAGTGAACAGAAGAATCCCATGATCCGGGGGAGCCAAGACTAAGTACGATCACTTCATTTGAATTTCTAGGAGCCCGCACGTCCCCACACGGCCCTTCTTAGAATAACCCTCCTAATAGCTCCGCTTTTCGCATACCTAGACTAGAGCTACTGCTTCTCCTCCTTTGGCTGCGGCATACGTTGGGGTCCGCGGGGCTTAGTCCGCTTGCACGGGCATACAGGTTGAGAATATCAGTCAGGCTCACAACGCCGACAAGATGGCCTGACATCCTGGCGCCGGGGAGTGAGGAGGCTGGGATCGCCGTTGATATCGATGGCAGGTATGGGCTGTGTTGGGAGCCACAGGCAGCGAGATGAGTGGGTAGGTGAGGCTGAGCAGAGTGAGAGGTCGGTGGAGGGGAGGAGATGGCATTCGCATTATTATTATTATTATTATTATTATTATTATTATTATTGTTGTTGTTGTTGTTGTTGTTGTTGTTGTTGTTGTTGTTGTTGTTGTTGTTGTTGTTGTTGTTGTTGTTGTTATTGTTATTATCACTGCTTGGTGATTGGGGGGTAGATGTGGATAAGGTGGGTGTCTGGAGCTGCGCGGTGGTGTTGGATTGGTTGCTCAAGGAAGGAATGTGAATGGATGTGTGAGATGGCGTCGGGGGGGTTGATGACGAGGATGACGGGGACTGGGGATCGGTTACCCACATTCTATTACTTTATTAGCGATTTGCTTTTCAGAATACGGAGATTTTAAGGGTAAATAAGGGACATACCGGTGGGATTTAGTCGCGACAAGTTTCGCAACTGTGTGTGCTAGGGTGGATTGTGGGTGAACATGGAAGACTGGAAATGAGTCTTTACCCTCGTGCAAACCGCGGGTAGACAGAATGACGGATATGAAATGTATGCATGTGTCACGTAGGAGAGGGAGGGATGTTGATTTTGTTAATAGCTAGATACGGGTTAGCCCGAGTCCGAAGTCCAAACACGAGAAGAAGCTTATCGAACATTACCTTCACATCAACAACAGAGATGTTGCCCACGACGTTCTGTTGATTGTCAACGACTGCAATAGATGAGATCCCTTCACTGTTCATCAATTCCAAAGCCTTGGAGAGTGGTTTGTCTCCGCTGCAAAGTTGTTAATGGATATGCAACATAGGGGAACAGGTAACGTAAACAACTGAAAGTGGAGCAAGAGAGAGAATAACCAACACATACTTGATTGATATTACTTGCTGCGAGCCTATCCTCAGATCAGACAAATACCGAGGATAAAGCTGATCAATTACCGGAAAGCTCTGTCCATTTTCCCACAGGAATTTGACTAGGCGCCACTGACTGAATATGCCAACAACCTCGTTGCTATTCTCTTCCACCACGATTATCCGATGGACGCCACCACCAAACGTTTCAACAGCTTTCATCAAATTGGCACTGGGAGGGAGAGTTGTGATGGGTTTGTTCAGCCCCAGATTTTTCACCTCCCTGAGCGGGATCTGTTTGCCTTCTCTCGCTTTCCTCTCTAGTTCCCTCAGCGACGCGACATGTTCCTCGTCTGGCTGCACCAACCCCACCACAAGAAGTAGATATGCATTGAGGTCTGCATAATCGAATGTACTTATGGCAGTTCGATCCTCAGCCTTTTCTCGAATCAAGAGAACTGCAGCGCCAGAGTCAATCAGAAGCTAAATATACAGAAGGTAAAACCCAATTTTTCAATATTAGTGCCGTTCACCGAATCATCACAATTTTCTTTTCTTTTTTCTTTCAGTTCTTTGACAGGAATTCAGCCATACATTAGTAGCTTCTTCAATACCTGTATCCATCTCTACAAACTGAAGTTCCGAGGGGCTAACTAGCTCTCCAATCGATATCTGTGTCCAATCACGGCCCGAGAACGCTGGATCTGCCGCATTTCCGGACGGGGGATTGTCTATGAGGCTCTGAACTGCTGATTGCGTCAGAGATGGCTGTCGACGTGATCGGGGGGAACCTGGAACAGCACGTAGAGAATCACTGAAGCTCTGGCGGGGTTGAGTCGAGGGAGCTGATCCTAACCGGAATGAGAGGTTGCGAGCCGGAGGAGAGCGTGACTCTGTGCTGGAGAGAGAAGCAGGACCAGGGGAGTGTCTGGAAGGATCAGAAGGTGAGGGGCTGCAACGGTCCGCCATGTTTGGTGGCTAATTTCTGCAGAGGCGTTATTCTGATAGAAAGAAGGCTTTTTATATGAGATATCAGACAAAAAGAGTCAAGGAAGGTTTTCTTAAAAAACAGAAAAGTTCACACAATCAGTATCTAATCCTAGAGAAATAGAGAATAGAAGTTAGCTGGCATAATCCAGCAATATTGGAGAGAGAAGAGAGGGCGGGGGATGTGGATGAGGGACACCATGCATATGCTTGGCAAGGACTGACTGTCGTCCGCTGAGGTTGACTTACATAAACTCTATTACCAAGGTTGGCCTGCAGCCATAGGGTTCAAAATGCTTGCCCGTTGCAGACTAGCGTATTTATTTCCAACCTCGATAATGTCAATGGATTTTAATTTGCTTGTTGTTTCTACTTGTTTCTAGAAGTTGGATAAGTGTAACGGAGCACAGTACACAGAAAGACAAATGCCAACGATTAAAATGAAGTAGAGTTAAATTTACCAGATTTAAACAGGGGATGATAGGTCTAGAAGAAAGTAACCCCACAATTGGTTCTAAAACAAGCAACACTGGCAGTTCCTCCCCGGGCACATACACACACACACACACACACACACACACACACACACACAAAAAAGATAATGGTTGCCTTCAAACTGCATTGCCGGAACCTTTTTCTATTCCCGACCCCCATATTTTCATGCACAAATGCCAGCCTCCGCATCATTAGTGCCGATAGGAACTTCGTTTTCACGAAATCACGTGTGAAACTTGTGTTTGATTTATTCAACTAATAACTTGCTCCGCAACCGACCGACATAATTGCGTATAGGAGAGACAAACTAGGCGAACTACGATGATTGGAGAGAGGTTTTGCAAAACGAAGTCCAACCACCCCACACAAAACAATAACGCCATTCGGCTGCGAGCTACCGATCCATGGTGGGGCAAATGTACTTCCCGTGTCACCTGTCACGAGTAAGCCTACAGGCACATGGCAATCGTATCAGGAGTGTCATAGAGGGAAACTTGGAAAAATACCTTTGGAATTCTGCAAGTAAACCAGCCATGTCAACGTTTCGCTGGGTTTTTGGCACAGGTTTGCTGCGCTGTCTCTTAACGTTGGTCGCTGTATTGTCATCCCCCGGCGCGGTGGTTCGTTTCCCGCTTGATAACGCAGCACAGGAGTTTCGTATCTGCCGATGAAACCACACTGACTTGTGTGTCTTCTTGTACTCTTTCACATCTGGGGCTCCCAGGGAAAACTCCAGTACCGGGAGTGAACATATCTCAAACATCTCTGAGTCATCCACTCCATTTGCAGATGTAATGTAGCTTCTAAAACATTCATCTACTGTTTTGTTGGTAACATTGACTCTACGAGTGAGCCAGCCATGCCTCTCACCGACACCTCTGGCGCTTTCGTCTGCGAGCTGTGGGCAACCCACTGCAATGAGAACCTCAAGTGAAGGGAACTGGTCTAGGTATGAGAAAACCCGCACAGTTACGTCGGGCTGTAAGCGAAGCATCAATACCCGTAGATTTTGGAAGGCTTCATTTTTTAACGCCAGCTCGCTCCAGCTCCTGATAAGGCGATCAGTTAGCATGGCTATTGGCATGTCATTGCCCTCATTAGCGGAGGGTTTCACAAACAACGGAGCAGTGACATCCAATGCTACCAAGTTGATAATCTTTGATATCTCAACAAGATCATGGAGATCAGCATAATCCGTTGAGATGCTCAAAACGGTACCCCAACTCAGCGATGGAGAGTTAATTAGCTGATAGTAAGCTAGAAGAGGCATTTTCTTAGTCGAAGTTTTCAGAGAATAATGCGGTTCCATTTTTGAAAACTCGTTGGGGTACGCTGTTGTGAATATTTTCCACATATGCATGGTCCGTCTTCTGCTAGGCATTGGTGTTAAAAAGGGAAACTCCTGAAATATAAGAGACAAAAAGATCATACAAAGACACCTTAAAACAATTACCTACCAGCGGCCTAAGCAATCCCACAAGTACTTGGCTAGTTCCCAGGGACAGTCCGCAAAATGCCCTGCGGTGAGTGGACGCTGGTCCATGAGGGTTTTCCGCATGGCCATATGTTTTAATGTATTGGCACCGCACGGGCTGCCTTCTTCCCACCCTGGAGGCAGGTAGGGCGATTCATGGCTCCAAGATGGCCCTGCGGCGTCCGATGGATAAATGAAAGATGGGATGACGCTGTCCGTGTATACTTGACCACTGGCCCAATCGAATCCCTTTTTCGCCATTTGATATCGCAGGTCATCATTACTCTCCACACTCGAGTTACTTCGTGGATGTTAATCCAAACCAAAACAGAGTTTTTAGCCGTGAAAAGGCCCAGCTTCCCGTGAGAGTAAATAATTGAGGGTTCCCGGGAAGTTTCTTGGAACAGGTGGAAGGAAATAATATCTTTCTCTTAGTTGGGATTTTTTAAAACATGTTGTAATGGGGTTTCCGTCGAGGTTTGTTTCAGATATCGAGATCAGACGGACTACTTTAACGTAAATTCGCCAAGCAATAGGGGACAAGGCGGTCAACAAAAGTATGCTAGACCATATATAGTTTAGAATTAGAATGCTAGCCCAAATATGGACTAGCGTAACGGCTCCATCTAAACCTTCATATCTTCATCTCGGCCTCGGGCTCATCGGATCTCACCAACTTCTCTCGACGTGAGGCTGTCATAGTTGGCACTCTTTGGATGTTTAAAATTTTGGGCTCTATATGTATGCAAGTTCTGCAGGTTTTTCTTTCCACTAGTGATGGTGCTGGTAAAGAGAGCTTCTTAGGCTCCCTGTTTACCATCTATGTTGCCTCAATTACCGGGTGGGTGCTGTGTCCCTGGAATTAGGAATCAAATGCCGCTGCATGGAGCTGTGGAGTAACTGAATGTTACCATACTGTTCCCTACCACACATCGACATAGTGCTGCTTGGTGTGTAATTTTTAATGTTTGGTGCGTGGGGCGAATCGAGAATTTTACACCCCGGACAACTGAGAAGATGCAACCTGCACTAGAATCTTGCATTAGAACACTTTTGTTTCACATATTTTCTGAAGAAAGTATATCCTCTTTTCTCTAATTTTCCTTGCTCATGCCAATAGGTGAGGGGATAACAGTTTATTTCTCTAATTTTGAAAGCAACTTGGTGCTGGGACCGATCGAAAGCGTTGCCGTCATTTCTTTATGGGCCATCTGTCTAACTCTCCAAGTCTTGATTTACATTGCCTCAAAGCATTGATTTTTAGTTGCCCTCTACCTTTTATTTTGTCTAAAGGGGCAGGATGGATACACCATGACAGGAAACATACATTGGCCATTTTCATTTTTTTTTTTTTTTTTTTTTTTTTTTTTTTTTTTCATGTAGTTGATTTGTTTCTGTTTTACGCTTGATTTCCGTGGGCGCCAGATAGGCCAAGGAGAATTTCCTTTCTCTCCCATCTCTCTTCTTTTCCCCTTACATCCTCACTTTTTATTTTTTATTTATTTATTTATTTATTTATTTATTTTTTGTTAATAACACCTGATATGCCACCTTGCCAGTAAATCCCTTTAATTGCTTGGTTGCTCCATAAGAGCAGAAAAATATTATTCCCCTACAATACGTCATCTATCCTGTTCACTGGAGGTATCAATCACCTAGCCTCCCTCATCAGTATAAGACACTACCCCCTCCATCAGCAACTTGTCGGAGCCTTCCGTTATGTGACCTATATTCCACCATATAGTCGTTCTCGTAGTTAGCAAACTTTGCAATCAACAAGCTTGCCATTCTGTCACAACTCATATCATCCCAATGAGAAAGAATACGTTCGTATAAAAATATCCATACCAGCACCCTCCCTACACACAGTAACCACATGCAGCTACCACCGGTCCCATCCCCGGGCCACAACATTACAACCCACTTACCCCTTCCTACACCCCCTCTGCGGCACCCTATCCACCCCCCACCTCTCATCCACCTCATCCAATAGCCCCAAAAGCCCACAATCCTCCAACGCCTTATTCCCCAACACATCCTTCAAACTAACCAACTTGAAACTCGCCAACACCCCCGTCCCACCCCCCAACGACGCCGGCAACTCATTCGCATCATCATGCACAACAAGCAATCCATGCGGGAACTCATCCGACAACCGCGTTCCAACAACCGCAACCCCATCAGAATTCGTCACGCCGTCAACCAACCCGTCGCCAGATGGTCCAACCGTGAACGTCAAGACGTGCTCGTGCGGCGCCGCGCGGCGGAAAACGGATAATGCGCTAACCCCCTGACAGGAGACGATTAGGAAACCTTGCGATGGGTTCTTGCCGGGGACGATTGCCAGGCCCTCGACGTCCGCGAAGAGTGTGCCATCTCCTACTCGCGCGACTACCGTGCCGACATTGGACCCGTCAGGCTCAGCATCATAGCGCCAGACGCCCGCGGCTTCTTCGCCGATGAAGATGTGGCCGTTGTCGTCGTCTGCAACGCAGCCTTCGACTTGGGTACCGGAGCCACCCCTGAAAGAGCGCACGAGGGTTGTGGATAGGGTGCCATTGGGTGAGATGGTAAGTTCATATTGCAGGTATTTGGCTTTTTTGGAGTTGACGAAGAGATATTGTTTATCAGTTGTGCGGGAACGGTAGGCACAGGAACCGTAGACGTCGTAGTCTGGCTCGGTTGGTTGTTTGCCGCCCGGGATTTCGGCTAGGCGGCCATCCGGGGTAATTTCGAAGAGGCTGAGAGAGGGGGTTAATGAGGGGCCATGTATATCTGGAAAATGGTTCAAAGACGTTGGGAATATGTCATATCATTTTGTATCTGATGTGCGATACATACCACAATGTGTTGTCCTTCCTGCAAGCTACGTATGCGAGATCGATCTTTCTGTTGCCAGCCTTAAATCTGTATATGATGTCTACATTATTGGGGTTTCCCGCTTTCATATGTTGAAGGTGTTTCCCATTGAGGTCAAATACGCTCAGTCCAGCCCCTTCAGTGGATTTGACGGTAGTTATGACTCTTGACTTGTTAGGGGAACTTTTCGATATCCAAATCGCAGGGTCATCTCCGTCACCGCCGTTAGCTTCTGTTTCACCCTTGGGATTCACAAGAAGAAATGAACAGTCTGGTCCACTCCAGGAATCTTTGCACTTGCACAAATTGGGGCCGACACATTGACCACGACCCAAGCAGCTATTCTTGCACGTAAACTGTGAGCAATCTTTGCCTGTAAATCCAGCGAAACAAGAAAGTGAGCCATCTGTATTGCCGAAACCGTTCTTCTTATTTTCTTTACGCGGGAATCCATGTGCTCGCGGGTCATATTTCGTGTTGGGTTCGAGGAACAACGCGGTAAATGCTGATTCCAAGGAGCTGACACCAAATGATTGCCCAGCACTGGACTTCAGAGCAAAGCCAACTAGGCCAGCGGGGTAGTTTGCATGTTTGCTTTGATATATTGACAACCCTTTAGCCTCAAGCTCTTCGAAACCTGTGAGTTTCAGTGAACCTTGGAGCTCCAGCTTTGGTGAGTATACCCCGATGGTATTAGCAGTGACGATCAGAAAGTGAATAGAAGAAGCGGCAACGTAGACGGCCAACCCGGTGATGTCATCCTCTATTTTTCCTACCATGTCGACCTTGGGGGCGGATGTCGAATCCTCGGCTTTGAAGCTGTAAATAGACTTGTCATCATCAGCCGCGAAGTAGACTGTTGAGTCGTCTGGTGAAATGGCACAGGAATTTGGTTCCACGGGAATACCAAACGTTTGGACCTGGAACGCTGTTAGAAGGAACATACGCATATATACGATGCCATTTCGTGAAAGAAAACGTCCAATGAAGAAGAGAACCAAACCTCTAGTAGACGAGCCCGTCTTCAAAGTCTACATAACAACTGACCTCAAGAACGTCAATAGCATTATTCTTCTCCCTCACAATAAACTGAACCGCCTGCTTCTTCCCAAACAAATAAAAGAACCCAGTCCCACTCTTAGGACTCCGCCACGGACACAGAGCAGACCAATCCCCCAACATCACCTTTCGGTTCGAAGGGAGCTCCGTCGCCTGATGCACATCAAAGACACGAATGACGGAGTCCGTGGACGCAATTGAAATGACAATATCCCTGTCTCCAACGTCATAGAGCACCCCGACCACTTTCGTTCGTCCGTGAACATGAACGGCCCGCTCCGGCAGATATCCACGGGTGCCATTGTTGGCAAGATTCCAGGCCTTCCAACCGCCAGTTGCGGCACTGGCGTCATTTCCAATGAGAATTGGTTCTTTCTCACTCTTGCCATAGTAGATGACTGAGTTGTCGCTGTGAACTTCAGCAGTTAAGCCAGATATGGGGAGGTTGGCGGTTGGGGGAGCAGCCAGTGCTGGAATAACCCCCGGGAGCAAGAGAAGGTTGAGAGCAACTGTAGCGACTGTCACAGATTGTGGGAGCACCATCCTGGCTTAAGAATAACTAAAGAAGAGGGAAAAGAGAGTGTGAGAAATATGTATAGGACATGATCGCAAAGGAGGGGAATTGAGATATTATATGATATATACTAGGGGCGTAGGGGGGGGGAACGTGTATACATATGTACTGTGCATATAGGGGTAGATCAGGGGCTATGGGTGGTTGTTGAATGGGGAGTTCACCCCCTTGACAAGTCCTGAAAAAGACAGTTGCGCCCCTTCCTAGTGAGCGCACCCCTTTTGTATGTGGCATCTTGCCCTTTACGGCCTCAACCCGATAAAAGCCGTTGCTGTGGCCTGACATTGTTTCCTAGCGGAAAATACCTGCCCAGCCCTGGAGCCCGTCCGCTCTCACGGGCATGCCGAGCATCCAATGGTCTGCGGCAGGAGCAGCGCATGCTCTGGTTAATTAGTCTCAGTACAGCCATTGGTGTTTAGGAGAGATTAAAGAAGGTCACGCTATGTTGTGTGTGTGTCGATGTTGGACAAGGGAAGGGGTTTGCCATTATTTAGTTTGATGCCAAACTCCCCATGTTCTTCTGCAGGGACTTAGAGAGGTTTCATTGACGTTGGGATAGAAATACCGAGATGTCGTTTCATTGGCCAACCAGAATTCCCTATTCGACCACGAAACATCGCAACGTTCGGCCTCTACTATTAACTACCAGCTAACTAACCTACAAATTCCACAGATTTCTCAGCCGTAATCTTAGTTTTATTTTACTATTACTTTTTCATAGTAAATTAAGTTTTATAATAAGAAAAAAAAAATTCCTAGAAATTTTTTAATATTGACTATTATTTAAAAAAATTAAGTTCATTTTTCTTCAAAGATAATTTTCAATTTTTTAAGTTAATGATACTTTACAATTCATATAATCTTAGTATGAAGTATGTAACCTGTTTTATTACAAAACATTTCTTATAAAAGTGAGCTATAGACCAATGATTTTAACAAAGACTCTGGGCATCAACCTAATGGTTCCAAATTCTAGCTTCCCCTCCGTGTGATCTATCTTCATTCTCAATGATTGCAAGTCGGTCAGCGTTTTCCCATTCATAAGCCAATCCAATACCCAAGCTTCTTCGTATCATTTCGACCCACCGCAATAGCTCCATCAACTTCAACGTCGACATCCCCCAAACTCCTCCAGAAGCGCTCTGCATGCTGATAGCGCGGGCTCTTTTGTACGACCGTCGTCTGTTGCTTCCTCTGCGCACTAACAAGACTCTGGAACGTAGCATTCCTAACAGCGATCTCGAACATTTCCAACCGAGAAGGGGGGGAAAGCAGTTTCTGCGCCATACGATCAGCTCTCTTAAGAAGCGCGACCACTTCTGTTGCCTCATTGCGGTCATCTCCGAAGAAGACACCGTAAGGGTACCATGGTAAAGGATCTATGTCGCTGAGCAAGAGATATAGCTTGCGTAGGCGTGGAAATATTGATCGTGGTAGTGAACATAGTAAGTCTTCTGGTATTGATAGCAATGGGACCTTGGGGGTGAGCTCGACGGAGGTGATGCATTGCAGTATTCGTGGGGGGAGGTGGTTTGGTAGTCGTGGAAGCATGCCCACGGAGCGCAGGCGGATGGTGTTGGCGGAATATAACACGTCAATTGCTTCGATGTACCTACTAGCTGATGAGCAAGCATGCATTTATTATTATTATTTTTTTATAAAACATGGACACATACGAAGGCCATTCGGAATAACCATATCATATGCTCTAGGTATGTGACTAACAATAAGAATACGTGTGCATTGTAGCATGTTCCGTGGATATACTTACGCCAACCGACAGCTCAACAACCACCCCATAACTCCAATAAGAACCCTGCCAAACTTATCCAGCGCTCTACCATACGCATCCTCGCAATCATCCTCCCGGGGCAAACGCCAGTCAAGTGCATATGGACAGAAATAAGCCATCCTAGATAAATGGTCCGTGCCATCATCCTCAACATGCACGACCCCATTTCCAAATGCAAGCACGTAGATCTGCCGACGTAGCTCCGGTGGGAGCTTGTTGAAGAACATACTGTCGCGGACGGCTAGGGAGGGATCTGTACTACCTGGGGGGCAGATGTTGATATCCGTCGCTGGGGTCCTTGTCATGAATTCTTTTAGGGCTGCTTTTGTTGGCCTTGGTGGCCATCGTTTGCCGTGTTGAGGGTTTAGTTTGCGGAAGATGCGTTGGAGCAGAGGGGCGGTCGCTACCATTTTTTCTTTTGCAAGGATAGCTTTAACCTGTCTTTTTCCTTTGCTTTATTTATTCAGCTTGTTTTGTTTCCGGTGGAAGAGGGGCTGTAGAGCGGTGTTATGTAGATGTAAAAATCGACATGTTTTGTAGGACTAGACCGGCCAGCCATATATCCGTGATTGGGTTGATATCCCAGGCGGTGCAGAATACCAGAGCCGTGTAGACTCCAATGATCACACGAGAAAACGCCATCAGCCGGAGGTAATATTCGTTCTTTGCTATATGACTGCAAGAAGCTGCTAAGGAGTATACTGTCAAGTTTTGTTCCTACAATCGAAATGGTGAAAAATTGATATAGTATCTTAACTTAAAAGTAAAATTATTCCCTTGGCGCCTAGAATATATCTAGATAGCAGGTAACTATTAACAACTAACTAGTCCACTGACCAAGCAAATGTAGGAAGACATGACCACTTGAATTGAAATCAGAATTTCCCCTTGTTTATCACGACATATCATCTCAACCCTCACAGCGTCTACCTGTTGGATTCCACGCTCTTCCTGTGTCAGCCCCATGATTTGGCCACAGTTTAGAAAAAAAGGTGTGCATTGTTCTATCATTGTGGAGATTGCGCAGCACCACTTTTGTTTTTATAGGAGAGAAAAAAACCCAGAAAAATGGAAAACGACAATGGGAAACGTCCTCCCTAAAACACCTCGATTTAAAGGTACGGTTTAATCTGCTTCTCAGTCCATTCCCAGAACTTCAACGCTGTCCCATTGCCCCCCTCCTCCTCGGTCTTCGTTGCCTCGACCAAATCTTTCCGAACGGGGGCGAATCTTCCCCACGGTATGACTAAAAGAGAATTTTCGCCATTGTTTAACAAACAAGTTAACTTAAGCCCGTACGAACAGAAGACACTTACTCCAAGTCCCCGGCTCCATATTGGTGACCTCCCGTGACAATCAAGCAAACAAGTCAGTATAAGCTCCGAAGACAGGTGGATATATAAACGGCCGCAGAAGAAGCTTCAACAACAACGCCCGATGCCGTGTGAGATCTGAAGCAAGGTTCCCCGGATTAAGTGCTAGACTAACAACACCCACATCCTTGTACCGTTTCGCAAACTCAACGGCATACAAATAATTTCCAGCCTTGCTGATGGCGTAATTGACATACTGTGGAGAGGTGCTGGCAAGCTGGTCCAGTTTGTCCAAGGGTATGCCAACAGATCTAGGCGCTCCAGTCTCCATGGTCACTGATGAAACCCAAACCACGCGAACTGTGTTGGGGGGCTCTGTCTTGGCCGTAGACAGGAGGGTTGGGGTTAGTAGTTTTGTAAAGAGAAAGGGGGCGATGGCGTTGACGCCTAGCTGGAGCTCGTAGCCTTGGACTGTCTTGGAGCCAGTGGGAGGTGTCATGACGCCTGCATTGTTGAAGAGGACGTGCAGCTTGTCTTCCTTGGAGAGGAAGATTTTGGCTGACGTTTTGATAGTGGTTAGGTCGCTGAGGTTCAGAGGTAGGAAGATTAATTGACCCTTGGGAATGGGGGTTGGCTCTTTTGATCTCGTCGATCGTGTGATTGACCTTGTCCTCCGAACGCGCTGCTGCGTAGACTTTGGCATCTTTGGAGAAGAGAACCTGGGCTACTTCCTTGCCAATCCCGGTGTTTGAGCCTGTTACAATGTAGACCTGGGAATATATTGAAATGTGATTTTAATTTTATGGGAGATAAATTGTCAGGTGAGAAGGCGTGAATAGCTTACCTTTCCTAGAAGACTCGGCAGGTTCTTATCTGTGAAAAGGGGTGGCGGGGGAAATACCTGAGTCCACAGACTCCTGAAGCTAGAGAACATTTTGGCCACCGTAATCATGAAATGATCGATTGCGCAACACCCGCAAACTGCATCCCTCAATAAGAAGGGAGACGCATGTCAAACGTCCAAAGTGTTTGGGCTATTTTGGCTCTTTTACCCGACGAAATAAGGTTGCACGGCGTGATGTCATTACCCTTGTCTGCAGCAATCCTTGGTTGATCTCGCCCCAAAACGGTTAGTCAGCGCGGTGATCTGAGTTAAGCTTATCTGGGTTCCCACAAATTAGGGAGGAATCGCATCCAACGAAGGTGATATACAACTAACTGAATGGACCCGATACTTAGTAGCTAGCCCGTCAAAGCTTGCAAATTCAAATGTTTGAATCCAGTGTTTACACAGAACTATCCCAAACCGTACATTGCCGATACTCGAAATCATGGCACCGGTGGGTGCCACAGTGAAAACCTCCAAATTATAAACCCAATTTTTAAAATTCAATGATTCGCAGAGACCCCAGCTAAGTTGCTCTGCAGAAAAGAACTGGACTTGATCGCTGTTGCGATTCCTTGGAAACAAAAGAAGATTCCTTCTCTTCCATACATAGCATCGCAGTATGTTAAGGAAAATCAAAAGGAAAATCCGCGTATTTCGAAAATTTTCGAACACTGGGGAGCTTAAAAAAAGGTTTTTCGTGGTTTTGTTGGAGTTAGGGTTCGGTGCCTTTCTTCCCCTGAGGCACCTCTTACGGAAGTGAGATGGTTTGATGGTTGTCACGTAGGACTGAGCTCGTCCGGTGGAACGGTGACTATTTTTGGCGCCCGTTTGTGATGTCATCATAGGGCAAAAGCTGTAGAACGCTTGACTTTTGCAGGGAGATTTGTTGATGACACCAACACTTAGTGTCTGTAGTACAGTCAATGCCACACACACACATGGGATCTTAACTGATGGACAGCTGAATGTTCGCTGAGTCTTGTGGGACGAGCCGAAGAAGAGACAAAGATAGGGTCCGACTCTTGTTTTTGCCGTATTGCTACCGCTGTAAAAGAGTTAGCCAGCTATTAGTATCAGATCGCATGGGAAGCGGTATTGTTATTATTGAAATAGTGACGATATACAATCACCCCACGCTCACCCTGGACACGGGGATGGGCAATACACACAGAGTACGCCATGGATGTATGAAGATCCCGGGGAATCTTCGTCATGAAACATGAAATAATCACAACCCTTGGGATGGCAATCCAGGACACCAAACGCGCCTTAACATCTCCTGACCCGGTCCAGTGACCGCAAGGAGCCAGGAGACGACAACAACTAACAATAGAAAGGAGGATGCTGACAGTAATGACACGGTCTTTTCTTAGTCTCGCGTCTAATAATAAGTCGCCAAGGCTGAGAATTAACCACCATCCTTGTTTTCACGGGCACGTTGCTTACGGTTCCTGTCATCCAGCCTCGTGTCTGCGTCGTACAGGAGACAGGCCTTATGATGTGCCTCACTATCAGACAGTCTGAAAATGACCTCGTTGGAATGAGCTGATGAGATCAACAGTCCGCAACCCCAAGAGTATGATGCCGATCGCTGGGCGCTGTTTTTGTTGGCTATTTTCAGCTAAGAGGGCCCCACCTTAGTTGGGAACTTAGATCATCCGCGGCTGCATCCCCCTATGTGATGATTGTGCATCCTGATTCCTCGTTCATTTGTTCAATGATGGCTCAGCGCAGAGCAGCGCCATGAAAGGGAAGCGCATCTCAGCTGCCTGGGTGTTGCCGTGTACATGCTATGTCCTTTACAAAAGCATGTCCTCGTGTTCTTTGCTTCTCGTCTGATTAATTTATCTGCCACTGTCTCATCTGCACTGTTCGTCTCTTTTACTTGTTGACACTCATGAATCTGCAATACAGTAAGGAGTGCTAGATGCTCCTGGCGACTCGCATATCGCTCCGATTTTGATACTGCGCTCTTTACCTAGTCCAGAAGTTACTGCATTTACAAGCCTCACTTACTCCCCTTAGCATTAACTAGATCTGAGTTACAAACCCATCGACACTCCTGTTCTCTTCCTCTCAACTGATAATTATGTTTCGTGCCCCACAGCGTCGAAAGCATGAGATACCTGAAGAGCAACAAACGAGATCCCAAGGTGACTTCGATCGTGTAGAGACCGACCTCGCCCATGTCCCTACTTTACGTTTGACCCCGCTCTTAGGAATTATAGCATCATTCCTGGGTAAAGGAAATCCTCTCATCCAGCCTGCAAACCCCCAGCAACACAGAGTATGGCTCCTCGATAACACCGCCTACCGCGCACCTGGAGGCAGATTCCATAACAATCAAACATGGCAAGTCGAGATAGTTGCATGCATCTTTAATAAGCGGGGCCGTGAAGAAGTTGGCAAGTTCGTCGCAACCATCGCAGACGCTATCGGACTGGATGGGGATATTGGTCTGAATAACCGGGAAACCAGAGACCGCATGGCTGAGCGTGTGCAACCGTTTGTCGATTCAATCGCTCCAGGCCACTCCATAAGTTTGGATATACCCATTGCGCGTCATACAGTCATCAAACGCAAGCTAAACCCATCCGACAGAAACGGTATCGTTTCGCAGGTAGTCCGGATAGGCGGGACAGATGTCCCCAACGGCACAATAATCCACCCATCCCTCCGACACTGGAGCCATAATGTATCCATGGAAACCCAATTCGCTTCTCCGACGGGCTGGCTGATAATTTCAGACGTCGACGACACGATCAAATACACCCAGACCTGCAACGCAGTGGGGATCCTGCGCACAACATTCGCCGAAATCCCACAGCCCATCGCCGGCATGCCCACTCTGTATTCGCACATCGACAAATCCCTCACGCCGACATGGTTCTACCTCTCTGCCTCACCATACAATCTTTACCCTTTCCTCCGCAAATTTCTCCGCCAAGTGTACCCACCAGGCACCCTCATCCTGCGTAACAGTTCATGGATGGATATGAGTGGGCTGCTCAAGTCGTTCACGCAGGGGACGGAGGCTTATAAAGTCGAGCGCATGGAGAAGCTGTACCGCTGGTTCCCGAAACGCAAGGTCGTTTGCATCGGGGACTCGACACAGAGTGACCCGGAGGCGTATGGAGAGATATATCGCCGGCACAAGCACTGGGTTCGGGCTATATTTATACGGAAAGTGACGGATGTGGTGAATATGGAGGATAAGAATAAGGATAAACGCTTTGTTAAGGCGTTTGAGGGCGTGCCAGAGAGCATATGGAGAGTGTTTGAGGATGCGGAGGATTTTCATCGGGAGGTTGATTTGTTAAGGCAGGATGAGAATCCGAATTATTAATCAATTTAAGTATTTTTATTTTTCGATTTTCCATTTCTTGTTTGATGACTTGCAGGAGAATTTTGTTCTGACGGCGTGTCTCCGCATATCTCTTCTATTTCGTTGTCTTTCGCTTTTTTTCCCTTGCGCTTTGGTCGGATTATCTGGATTATTTCATTTTACCCCTTACCCCTATACCCCTAGGAGCGACATGTCAGGAGGACCTATGATTTATGCCAAGTTGCAGTTTTATTCGTTAACCATGATGTTTTCTTCATATTTGTTTCCCTTGAAACACCTTTCACCTTTCACCTTTACCCTTGTTTTACTAGATTTACATAACTTGGAGCATACAGGCGTAGTTTGCGGGTTAGAGGCGCGGCGCAATGTGGAATAATCTCCCGCATACATCTGTCTAATGTATAACTAAGGATTTTAAACAACAGCGTAATCTCGATCATTGCTTGCTTCTCAGTTGCTCGTTGGTAACAGCAACCAAATCTTATTCAGGCGGATGTTAAGTCGAGTATTTATAATCTCGTGCGCTCCGGGAACACAACATCCTATGTATGTTCTAAGCCTCTGCTGTCCTGGAACGTTGATGTCCAGACACTGCTCAACTCCAATCTCAACTTTTACCATCAGTAAAATAGCAATTGGAACAACTCTTCCCTATCTGATACACGCCAATTAAAGCGTCTGTACATCCATGGCCCTGATTCAACAATCGATGATATGTTTAATTTTTTAAACCGGTATTTAATCACATCAAAGCCTTCAAGCTACAATAGCTCCCGCAACCCCTTTTCCCTGCTAAGAGCAATCAAATCCCCTCCCGAAATTCAATCCAACAACGATATGCACGTAATAACACAATTCACTAATATTATTATACTACCTTCTCCCCTCATCAATGGGCCAAACAATCAAAAATTCCACTAACTACCAACTACCCCTCCACTCTGCCCTCACACCCTCCTCCACTCCCCTCCGCGCCAGCAAAAAAGGGAAGACAACCCCAACCCGCCCACACAATGCAGCCAACCCCGCGAACTCACACTTCCATATACGCAGAACAGGAAAACATCCCCCCGGCCATGGCAGCCCTAACCCTACCCCTCCCCACCACCCACCATTACACTACCACCAACCCTCCCCCGCCATCCACCCTCATCTACACCTCCACCCACCCAACCCCAACCCCCACAGAATCCCAATACCTCCTAAAAATCCTAGCGACAGCCTTCTGCCGCGGCGAGCTTGGGTGGTCTGAAACCCTCCGCCCCCCACCATCCCCCACCTCCACCTCCACCTCCGCCTCCGCCTCCGCAAACCAAACCCAAAGCCAAATCCAAATCCAGGATTTCAAGCGCATACCCGGCCACGACGTCACGGGTATAATCCTCTCTACACCTCAGGTAGACGAGCACAGCGTTACGGGTCCTAGATTCAAAGTTGGCGATGAGGTGATGGGGTTGCTTGCATTTGAGAGGGATGGGGGTGCGGCGGATGTGGCTGTGGCGGTGGAGGGGGAGTTGGCGTTTAAGCCGAGGAATGTAGGGGCGGCGGAGGGGGCGTGTTTGCCGTTGAGTGCGTTGACGGGGTGGCAGGCGTTGTTTGAACAGGTGGGGTTGAGGGGGGTGGTGATGTATAGTGATGATGAGGATGAGGAGCGTGAGAGGGTGAGGCAGAGGGAGCGAGATGATGAGGAGAAAGTGAAGAGGATTCTTGTGCTGAATGCTAGTGGTGGTGTGGGTGTTATGCTGTGTCAGCTGTTGAGGGCGAAGATGTTATTTGGAGAGAATGGAGGTCAGAGGTTTTGGGTTTGTGGTGTGTGTTCGGGGCGGAATATGGGGTTTGTCAGGGGGGAATTGGGTGTTGATGAAGTGTTGGATTATACGCAGGAGAAGGGGTTGGCGGAGGCGTTTAGGAAGCGTGGGTGGGGGCCTGTGGATCTTGTGCTGGATTGTGTTGGGGGGGAGTCATTGAGGCAGGTGCATGATGCTACTGTGGTGAGGGATGGGGGGTTTGTTGTTAGTATTGCACAGCCAATCCCGGAGCGGGAGCCTGAGTGGGAGGGGGTCAGGAATGAGATTGAGAGGAGGCTATTGACAAGTAGGTTTTTCATTGTTAGGCCGGATGGGGAGCAGTTGGGGAAAATTGGGTTGTTGGTGGAAAAGGGTGAGCTGAGGGCTTTTGTCGCGAAGGAGATGGGGTTGTATGAGGGGAGGGAGGCTATGGAATTGGTGGAGAGTGGGAGGATGAGAGGGAAGGTGGTTTTGAGGGTTAATTATTACGATCCGTAGGTAGATAGGGCGGGGCGGATTTCTTTCAGGTGGTCATGTAAGTTAAAGTCTTCTTTCTATATTTTATATATATATATATATATGTGGTGTGTGTGTGTGGGTGGGTAGAATATCATTATGTTATGTGATGCTTCGCATTGTCATCTACACAGGAGAAGAAAGTCATGTGTGTAGACAAGGAATAGGATAATGATAATAAAAATGAGTAAGTGCTAAGAATAAGACAGAATGTAGATGAAATGGTGAAAAGAAAAATTCATAATAAGAATAAGAATGAGCTTCGAAGAAGAACGAGGTAAAATAAGAAAAACAAAAAGGCCGCTTTAGTAAACCACTTGTTCCTCCCAGTCCGCACCTATGGTAAGTTTTCATACATACAGTGATCTCCCTTCCGGAAACCCGCCTGGTCTTGAGTTCTCATGCTCTACCTACAGAGGAGGCATGAAGCGTCGGTAAAAGGAATGAGGATGGTAGAAATGTAGCGAGCAAATAAGAGATAGAGAGAGATAGAAGGGTAAAGGAAATGGATTTGGGTAGTAAGAGAGAAACGAGAGAGAGAAATGAGGAGATATATTCCGATATTGAAATTTTACGTCACGCGCGAACGAGGAAAATATGGTAAAGAGAGAAATCCAGACAGATATGATATGATGGCTCATTGTGTAGAGAATATTCATCCTGCTTTTTACTATTTCAATTCTCGCCTTCACCATACAGATGGAAATAGGAGCCACGGTCTGTGAAGAACCGAGAGGAATGACCTTGAGGACACGCTGTGGTTGGTGGGTTGGTGGGTGGGGAGGAGCATGAAGAATAGTAAAGCGGATTATCGAACGTTGGGAAGGCGGCTTGGCTTTCTTGGTCTGGTTTTGTTTGTTTGAACGGTGGACAAGATAAAATGGGAGGAATGGACAAATGTCGAGAGAAAATATCACATTTAACTCTTCGAAATGGTTTAAACGGACTGATAGGCCTAGTGTAATAGAATAACGGGTAAACAACGAAGGTTGCTCAGAGAAGGGAATCCAAGCGAGTAAAGACGCTCAGACAGGCTGCTATCACCTGGAGGGAGTTGACAAATTAGTTAGCTAGCCTAGGTCCCAGATTCAGATGGGGGGAGGAAGACTGTAGAAGAAATGAAATATATAATCATACCTCTAGTTGAAGCTCTCTATCTTTCGCCTTATCAACTTCCTCATTCACCTCTTGAGCCAAATTCGCGCCAATCCCCTGACCACCGCCCGCCCGCCGCGCAAACGGCCACTGCGAATATTCCGACAACAGTTCATCAACCTGTGCAAAGGCTCTTTCCCGCGCCTCATGGCCCATAGTCACCAGCGCATTTTCAAGGACGTTAGCAGCATACGCCGCACAAACCATCGTGATTGTCCGGAGGTATCTAAATTCAATGTCCTCGGGGAGGAACTGGTTTGGAGTGAGGATAACAGTGCGATTGCTACAGATGTTGCGGACTCGTTTGTGGATTTCGTCTTTGGCGCCAGTGTCGGCGACGGGGTGGGTGGCCATATCGAAAAGGAGGAAGTTGCGTTTCTCAGTGCGGAGGATGCCTTTGTCTACCAGGCCCTTTGCTAGTCGTTCTCGGACTTGTTTCAATTGGTAACCGATTTTCATAAGGTTCCATGTTTCGCCTGTTCCTGACGTTAATGGCCTTGACGACTAGTTATGCTATTCGCACATGAAGAATGTAGAATATAGACATAGGAGCGTACCACTCAGGAGATCGATCCAAGAGCTGACACTCATCTTTTCACTTGACTTCATCATTTTTAACGTCTCGTCCAGCAAGACCTCTCCAGTCAGTGTATCATCGATGACCTCGATTACCCGGTCAGCAAGTGGAAAGCGTCGTCTCGAGGAGTCCTTTTGCATGCTAATGCGGCCGCGAAATGCTAATTCGATAACGATACAACCTCGAAGGGCGTACGAAATATTCTCGTTCCAGAAAGATAGATATCCCTATCAGATCATAAGAGCACACGCATAATAGCAGTCTCCAAGTTAGTTCCACTGCAAACATATATTTTCCTCAAATATGAAGTTTTGATGCATATGTAAGGCTGCGCCCTCTCAGAGCACAGGGAGAGTTGCCCCAACCAACACACCTGCTTATCTTTTAAACCCATCAGAAGCACCTCTTCCATTAGTGTGAGCTTAGGTTGCTTATTCCTCTCATCACTTTCACTGATATCCCGTGGATCAAAGGCGATCTTGTGTCCATTTTCGCCGCCTGTGAAGGAAGTTTCCGGCACGCGACTGTCGAAGGAAGAGCCGTTTAACGGGGACGGTGAGGCGACCCGACTGCCTTCATTATTATCGTCTGTGTTTGAACGAACGCCTCCGCGACGGCGCGTCAGACCACCGGCAGAAGCCATAGGATGGGAATACGGGAGAAAAGGAGAGACGACGAGGAGAGGAGGAGAGGAAGAGGGTGGCTTTTTGTGTTGAATGAGCAGCGCCCGGGTGGGGGTTTGTTGATGACCGGTTTGGGGGCTCAGGGATGGATGGTTAGGTGAAGCATGGGTTTTGAGGATTGGAAGTGGTTTAGTTCTGGTGGTGGATACTTCTATGATCAGCTTGTTCCAGGAGTAAATTAACCGGGGAGGTTGAAGGATCCGAACAAAAATTCTGTTTTTGGCGGACGGGGATATTCACCGTTAAGGGGGTAGTTGTTGAGGACGACAGGCGGGATCAATTGGAGGACGGGTCAAGTGCGCAGTATAGGACAGTTGGATATCGCGGCTGGGGATGGAAGAGGATGGTAGTGGTAATGGTGGTAGTTGTGGTGATGATAGGTGGTAGTAGGTGAAGTGAGTGGTTAAGTTGATTATGCTTTTGAGACAGTTTGGTTTGACGTGAGCAGGCTCTGGCTAGGGCTTGGCACAGACTCAGACACCAGACACAGACTTTGCATATATGCAAAAGATTCAACTGAACCCGGTAGCGTGTTATTTTAGTAGGAGATATTTAGGATGCAAGCAGCAATTAAATGTCACTGAGATTTAACTTGATATCAAACATGCTTTCTGCTTCATATAGTGCGAATTTAACTACTCCCATAAACAAGGGCACAACACGGAGTACATATACTGAGAAAAGATCTCCACATTAAAACAACCACCACAACCTCTGCTGACACTTCTAATAATGGACAATTAATTTTTCTGTTTGATCCTTTTTGTACATGAATACCATACTTGGAGGCCCCGGATTTTTGCTCTAGTTTTATTGAGTCGCACTTTGAGGGAAGAAACAGAAATCAGAAAGAAAAAGAATAATTTGATGTACATGATATGGCAAAGAAGGAACGGAAGTGTCCCTTTAATCTATCGAACTCCACTAACGCTGGTGCAGATTCCGCTGCTGCTGCTGCTGCCACTGCTGTTTCTGCAATTGCCACATCCTACATGCTGGATGCCATATGGATACACGACACGTCAAGTGTATCCAGCCCCTTCGTCTCTCGTTTCGTCTATCCAGGGTCTATATGCTCTTAGTGGGCTACAACAGATAGAAGTTAGCGCAAGTGACAGCGTGATTGCAGAATCACAGACAACATACCATCGGGCTGAGAGCTAATATACTTCACGGCTTGGTCGACTGTTTTTGGTCAGTAAACAATACCTTATTCTGATAAAAAAAAAAAAAAAAAAAAAAAAAAAAAACCCGGTTACGTGTCCGTTATTGCTATTCGGAACCTGGTATCTCGATCTCTATGGAAGAAGGTAACCTACTGCTGTGGATAGCATCTGCTTCCTTATCGGGGATTTCGATGCTGAATTCCTGTATTAAACAAATTCGAGTCAGGATGTGATATAGTCCCCTTATTTCGAGCAAACAACAAAGATGACGGATGGATTACCTCCTCAATGGCCATCACAACCTCAACGGTATCCAAGCTGTCCAGTCCCAAATCATTCGCAAAGTGTGATTTGCCGTTGATCTTCAAAACCGACAATTAGTTTTATAAGTACTAGCGTACACACTGATTCCGGAGAACAACTATGTTATCATTACCTTGGATGGGTCCGAGACCTATAAAGACACACAAAAATGTATAAGCAATTCTGCTGATCCGATATAGTGATAATGAAAGTCAATTGTGCCAACAGACTACATTCACCATCGAATGCATATCACAACATACCTTGTCAAAGTTCTTCAACAAATCGACTATTCTACCCTCAATCTCAGGCTCCGTTAGACCAGCGGGGGCAGAATATGATCGGATGGTCTGGCAGGTGAAGCATGGTGTGAATTGGGCTGGGCGGATGGCAGAGAGCGAGCTCCTTGGGAGTTGGAAAGCGGCTCCAGATGGTCTGATGAAAGCGCGAGCGGGTGTAGAGGCAGCGCGCAGCGACCGGGCAACGGCGGAACGGAACATGGTAGATATAATAAGTGGGGGAAGAGGCGGGAATCGTGGGAATAGATCTGGATGTTGCGTAGTGTAGCAGCGGATATTAGTTGTTTAATGGATCTGATCTGATGGCTGGAGGTCGATGTGTTTCATTCTTTTTTTGCAGGTGGTTGAAGTTTCTCGATGCGGAACACACCGCCCAGCCAATCACGGGGCGGCAGAATTGTATGACCCGCGCACAAGTTTCCCAAAACGTCGCAGTGGGCAAGACCCAGGTATCTACATACGTCTATATCGACAATTCCAACAAACGACGGCTGATATATTACCTGTGGTATCTAGCTATTCGTGTACCCTGTCTCCCTCACAAATGGCTTCTTCAAAGGCTGTTTCCAGGTTAATCGCCTACAGACGGCCAGCACTGTTGCAGATATCGCCCCAGTCCTCCACACATCTACGCTCCACGCCGGCGTTCTCATTCTCAACCTCCTCTCCAGTGTCTGCGACACCCGCGGGTCCTCCACGGCAAGGCTTCCGCCTCCCACCTCCCAAGGCATGGGACCAGGGCGATGAATCCGCCCTCGACAAAGCCGGCAAATACTTCCTCATGACAGAGATGCTACGGGGCATGTACGTTGTATTGGAGCAATTCTTCAGACCGCCGTACGTATTCTCCCCATCGTTAAACCCACTACACTGATTTCTCTCATCAGGGCCTCAATGACACGACTGTAATCATTATAAGCCACGGGGTCGACTCTGCATTCCTCGATGCATTGTTCTAATATACTGCATAGATATACCATCTTCTACCCTTTCGAAAAGGGCCCCATATCCCCCCGATTCCGTGGGGAGCATGCACTACGCCGCTACCCATCTGGCGAAGAGCGCTGCATCGCCTGCAAGCTATGCGAAGCCATATGTCCCGCACAAGCCATCACCATCGAGGCCGAGGAGCGAGAAGACGGAAGCAGGAGGACCACTCGCTATGATATTGATATGACCAAGTGCATCTACTGCGGTTTCTGCCAGGAGAGCTGTCCTGTCGATGCTATTGTTGAATGTAAGCGTTTAAAACTCTCACCATATTGTGTCGTGATTAATTTGATACCCCCCGAATTTTTAAACGGGCATATATAATACGAGATATATAATATTCCATGTAAAACGAGGGCAAGTAGATAGCTGACAACTCTGCTTGCACTCAAATATAGCACCAAACGCCGAATACGCAACAGAAACGAGAGAAGAATTGCTATACAACAAGGAGAAACTGCTCGCCAATGGCGACAAATGGGAACCAGAGCTAGCTGCTGCCGCAAGGGCTGATGCGCCCTACAGATAAAAGAAAGGAAAAGGAAAAAAACTCCTCCCAGCTAAAGAGCTACTAGTCGAGCTTTGTTCCTTGTTTTCTTTCCGTTGTTCCTCTTTCATCTTCTCCTATGGATAATATCGAAGAAGAAAATGATGAGCATTGTATAATACATACAGTTTCATGCATAAGAGATACTATGGGCATAGCCTTTTAACATCTTTTGGAGCAAGATGATTGCAGCAAATATGTGCTGTATTGCTTTTGTCCTAGGTTGGGTTTTCGCTTTGGAAACCCATATCTGCTCTCACAGGTGACATCGACAGTGGGAATGCCTCCCCTTTCAATTTGTCATCTTGCTAGCATTTTGTTGTCCTCACATTTCTTCTTTCATCTGCTCTTCCATCTCTTTTGTTGCCTGCTTTTTTATCCTCTCATCTTTTTTAACCCCTCTTGTTCCCATACTGCATCTAATCAACCCTTGTTTGTCAAAAAAAAAAAAATTAAAAGGCAAGAATAAGCTCAAAAGGCATGAAATATGGGATGTATGAATATAAGGAAACGCCTCTGACATACAGAATTAGAAGTGCAAGATCTTCAAATGCCGGAGGGAGTGCAAAAGACACGCTGATGATGTTGTACGCAACAAGAACTATCAGGCAAAGGTACCCAAGGTGGAGGTTAAAAAAGAGTGGAGGAGTGGAGTAATCTAACGGTCTGTCGTGGTGAATTTCGAGGCTAAAAGAACCATAAACCTGGGCTGAAAATAAGCTACATGGATTGAATTCTCTAGTATTATTTAATAGCATATTGCATCCCCTTCCTGTCCTTTATTTTCATGTAGTGGCCCTCCTGGTCTGTGTCATAGTGTATGTTTACCCTATATCAACACACAGAACGGGGTCAAACGGGGTCAATTTATACACCAAACGGTAAGCGGAAGGAAGAAGAAAAAATGAGCCTTGTGGAATATAACCATAAACTCCCCTCCGTGAAAAGAACATATAACATGAAATCACAGAAAGATAGAACAAAAAAAAGGTAGGTATATGTAGCGCAATCCAACTGCCACGTTCCCTCTCCCTTCCCCCGTCCCCAAGAAGAGACGCTCTCACTTCTTCTTCGCCTTAAACCCCCCTTCAAACCCAGGCCTCTTCTTCACAGAACCCTTCCCCTTCTTCTTCCCCACCTTAGAGCCCTTCTCCTCCTTCCTCTTCTTCAAATTCTCCACCCGCTTCTTCTGTCTCATCTCCTTCCCCTTAACCACACCTTCAATCCTCTCCTTCCACTCCTTCTCACTCTTCCTTTTCATCCCCGTCTTACGATTCAACGTTTTCTTCAACAACGACACATCATCTTTCACCTTCTCCCCATGCGCCTTCTTCTTGGCCTTCAACCACATATCCTTCTCCTCAATCTCCGCTCTTTTCTTCTCATCCAGCCCCGCCAACCGGGCCTTCTTAGCTTCCAGTGCCTTCAATGCAGTTTGCGCATCCTGTGGACCCTTGCGTTTTTTCTCGTCGAGGAGCGTGGTTAGGCTGGGATCCGCCTGCTGGCCATCTGCGAAGACAACACGCCCGAAGAAAAAGTTGTTGGGGATTGAGGAGATGGAATCAGCCGGAGATCCGGGGGAGGCAAGTAGTGAGCCAGAGCCACGCGGTGAGAATCGTCTTGCAATAGCCTCATCTCTTTTTCTCTGCTCCTCCTCGCGCGCTTTTTGGCGCATCTCCTTCTTATGTGCTTTGCGCTGTTCTTCGCGATGTCTTCTTGCTTCGATGAGTTCCTGGCGGTTGCGGGCGGGCTTGCCGTTGAAGCCGTCGGCACGCCGCGCGGCTCGTAGCTCTTCTATGCGTTTCTGTAATCTCTGCTTAAGCTCCTCTGGTGTTAGATTTGTGGGCTTCTTGATTGGGGGTTGTGTGGTTTCTGTTTGTGGTATTGTTTTTGTTTCTGCTTTGGAGTTGGAGGGGGAAACGGACGGGACGATTGAGGAAATGGGGGGCGACCCGGATGGAGGGTTGGAGGGATCGAAGGGTTGTGAATTAGGGCCGGGGGATGATGAGGCGGAGGATGCTGGTTCTGCATTGTCTTCATGTTGCAAGGAAGAGAATCCTTCTATGGGGGTGATGTCTTCATCTACTTCGTCATCATTGTCTGCATTGGGCACGACCTCCTGTTGTTTTTGTTGTTTAAGGCCCTCCGGCTTCTCATTCCCCTTAGAAGCTTCTTCTGTACTCCACTTGGTGGCCTTTTGCTTCTTTTCTAGCTTGGCTGCTGCTTTCAATTTCTTCTGTTCCCTTTTCGCTGTCTTTTTCTCCGCCTTCTGGGCCTGTCGCTTTTTGAGAGCTTCTGAATTTTCATCCTTGTCTTTGGCCTGGCCTCCTTGTACTCTGTCTGCCTTTCTCTGCTTCTTCAATTCATTCTGAACCCCAATAAGACCCTCTGTTGGTGCTTTAGTGCCTAGTTCCATATCGCCGTCATCATTTTCGGAATCTGATTCTCCCTCTTCCCCTCTCTTCCTTTTCCGGGCATTTTCGACCATTACATCCTTTGCAGTCTTCGATGCATCAGGGTCGAGCTTTGCACGTTTGGCCTTGCGAGCTTCCTCTTTCGTTTGCTTTTTCCGCTGCCATTGATCCTACAGCCCAATAAAATAGGCATAGAATAAGCACATGATTCTATCCCGGAGCAGGACGAGAAAAATCACAGTTTAATTATGGGCACCTACAGATGTATCTTCACCATAGTAATATTTTGCTGGAATCAACGATAGCAATCCATCGAAGGCTTGAGCATGGTTACGTAGCCGTTCCTATATGTATAGACACCAGCATTAGCCCCAGCTAGTTTACGACAAATATATAGAGTAGAAGAAGTTTATAGGAAGCTTCGGGCGAAGAAGAAAAAAACAAAAAAGCAAATTCTCACCTCGATACTATTCGCCATATCGATTATTAAAAGATCCTATAGCAGAATTATCCGTATGGCAAGAAGTCCCAGGTCTTCTCTTTCTTCTCCTTCCTCTCTTCGACCCCTCTTTGCCTGGTGGAGATCGATTGTGGCAGCGCAACCGATACACCCGCTCGCTGGTTCGTTGTGCTGGGATAAAAAATAAAAATAATTTGTAATGAATCGCAGGTGTGGGGTGAGGTGAAATCTTGGCGCTAGGCAGTTTCTCGGTTAGTTAAATAGCATAACTAGATCAAGTACGTTATTTGTGGCATTTACAGAGCAACATTCTACAGACAACAACTCTTCAAAGGATGGATATCTATGTATACTTTCGATAGATCACTTCACTTACACCTGCATGCTCATTGTTTGTTAGGCTCGATGCTACGGAATATCCATCTTGGCATATCCGCTTCTTGATTGAGCATCGACGTTGACTCTTAACTGCAGAGGAGCTTGGCTAAGTGCAGTCGACCAGTCTGAGCAACTTGACCTCCGCGTATCCCGCCCATTCTTTACGGAGTTCATTGCATTGAAACATAATGCCGTGTTCCAATTATTAATCAATTAGCTATATATGCCTGGGCGAGCCGACGCTTCTTTCCACTAATGCCTAATACTACCAATATCTGCCTGTTAATCCTGTCGAAAAAAAAAAAAAAAACCCCGACTAGTTATCGGCGGGCAGAAGGGATATCCCTCCAACCTTGACGCTTAACGATACATATGTTTGCCCATTTCGTGAACTCTTATTCAGAAAACAAATGCGGTCCAGAGAGGATTCTAATCAATACTTGAGATCAGCCTTCCGGCTTGGTTGATTCAATAAACTCTCAGGCAGGTCACAGTTTAACTACCCTTCAGTCTCTCAAGAATGGAGTCTGCAATTCCCCACCTCCCTAATAAACTCTGGGCGCCCATCGCATACTTCACAGACCACGAATCCCTCGAGACCCTGCGGCTGGTCTCCTTCGCACTTTCGAAGCTTACAACCGGTGAGCTTTTCCAAGGTTGTGAAGCTTAAAGAAACAATTCAGCCCACGCTGCTTAGAGAGGATGGAGAAAATCTGGATTCATAAGGAGCTAAAGAGACATGTAAACAAGCCCAGTCTGGATTTTGATAGGTGGCATCTTGTGAGTTGATTTATTATGCTGGTCAATGTTTTTCATTGTCCTGTGGAAATACCTAAGGATATATAAGCAATATCGACGGATGGCGTTGCACGTGGTCAGCGTTAATACTGGCGAGAGGGAGGAATTGGAACCGAGAATTTTATATGTAACAGTCGCTATTAATACTGACAATGGATACTTATATGGACACATCTAGGGCATCCCTTCATCCCAATTTTACTACGTAGATTCACCCGAGAGCTCCCCTCACCCTGGCTCTAGCCCTCATCAGCCACCTTACAGCAACACTAATCCCTCTTCTCATCCATGTTCTTTGGCTTTACCCAAAGCTCGACCTCAGAAACAGTCGCTTCCCAAGTTTGCGATCCCTCACGTTGGGCAGATACTCCTTCGTCCACGACTCCCAGCTCGACTGGATTCTTCCCCACGACCTAACCATCCGCAATCTCTACATGGAAAACTGCATCATCTTTTTCGAAATCGAAGTCAACAGGTACAACAAGAGCCAGGGCCCTTGCCCATCAGAAATGGAGCTAGGCTATGGCTCGGGAGACCCTTCCAATCGGTCCATGAGATACGGCGCCAGCTATACCCAGCGTTGGCACGATTACTTTCTCGCTTCTCGCGTTTTAAGAGGGACTACCCATTTTGAATATTTCCTCTTTGGCTCCAGTCCACACTGGTGCACTGGGGGGGAGGTTCGGAGAGGACAATATTAGGATAAATTTGGGTAAGAGCAAGTATTTGGCATTTGGCAGTGAGTATATAATTAGCTCGTATATGGGTGAATTCGGTGCTGATTGTGCGGAGGCCGATGAGCCCCCTCGGCGGCCTGACTGTGTGGAAGAGGATTAGGACGCCTAAGAGAATCGCTGTGAAGGACTGGGCAAGTGATTGATATAGACAAGCTGCTGTTGGATTGTTGAAGTGTGGGAGCTGTTGAGGGAGAGGTGGGGCGGAAAGGGGGCAGGAGGATATGTATGAATACAACGTAGTTGAAAATGTATTTTGGAGGTTTGAAATCTACGAAATCAAACGGGACACATTGGGATATAAGAGCCTATATACCGTACCACTAACTGAATAATAGCGAAGCTGCATACGGTGCACAAACGCCGGTTTATACAATCCGCTACTCTAGCCCGCAATTGGTAATATGACATGCCCCGCCGGAATAGCTGATGGTGCTGGGAAACCGATGGTTATATAAACAAGGCAGATTGTCAGCACAATCACAGCAGAACCATAACTATATCCCGATCATTCGGGAAATTCGAAGCCCTCTGCTTGCAATCAGCCTTGAGAGTCTTCACCCGGCCATACAGCAGGAGAAAGGTGGCGGAGTCCGAAGACAAGCATTTGACTACATAGACCGATATTGAGACTTCTTGTTTTGTGCAAGGGTAACACACCACATCATCGGACAGCTATCAGATATACTCTGTATGCATGTCCACATCCATGAACAGTGTTCGATTCTCCTTCTGGAATTCAAGAGCAAATTGTGAATGGTTCAGATCTGAGGGGGATCTGCATGATGTCGTCACTGCAGATTCTTAAGGAACGGTCCTAAGTTGAACCTGCATAGCCACATCATGAAAACCTCTCGTAAGCCAACTTGCAGGCCTTGGAGACAAAAGAGTTTCGCCAGAAGCGGACAACAACCGTGGCGCAGTAGCGACAAGCGATGTCTTGGCCGTTGATTTTTGCCGGAAGTGCACATAATTCCGACGACTGGAAATTGTCTGGGGTGCTGAACGTTGAGCGTTGAGCAGGTGTGGCGCATGCTGTTGGATGGCACTATTGTTAGTTAGTCATCGTTGTATCAACAAAGACACAAACAGCTCGAATTGCGTCTTACACCATATGGATTGCCCGACACCCGCTGGATATTTGTGGAGGATGGGATAAATGCCTAGGTACCTTGGTACCTAGAGTATGGGCCCATCCGCGAAAAGATACAGTTAAGTCCATGTGTGTTCGGGAAGTTTTCGTTTTATCGAAGGGCAGTTTTGAGCCAACACTTTTCGCGTGGGATCAGCTGGTAATCCATGCATGATCAAGAAATCACCCAACCATAGATTCAGCGCAAGAAACAGGCTCACAGCGAATCATAGACTGAGAAAGCCACCAGCGCCAAGCAGGGTGGGCGGGGTTTGTCGGTTCAGCTGCAACGGACCCGCAGAAAGCAAAAACGGTTTCGGTTGAGACGGTGGATGGTGGACAGCGCAGGTGGATTCCTGAGCCCCGCCTTCGAGAGTTACGCCTCCCAGATGACAAAGTAATCGTAATAACAGTTAACTAACGTAGTTATAGTATAATAATTAATGGCGTGTGAAGGGTTATGCTGCGGCTGTAACTACTCCGTATCGACCCTAGTATTGACTACCGTAGGGCTAGAGGGAAGGGAAGAGAGAGAAGGGATCATGGGTATACGTCGTCAAATATAAAATAATATAAAAGAGCATGACTGTCCCTCTTCCTCGTCTTGTTCTATCATATATTATTTCTCTCATCCGATCCCTCCACATAGACGTCACTGAGATCCCATCCTTCTAACCCATCTTCTCGAATCCGTCTTCTCTCACTCTTCCCTTGCTACCCTCAAAACTCTCACCTCAGACTCTCAACCCACACCCAACATGTCCGGTCCATACGATAGCCAGAACCCAAACTATTACGGCCAGGGCGGCTACCCACCCCAACAAGGATACGGTCAAGCACCACCTGACCAATTCAACCAGGGCCAATACCCACCTCAGCAAGGCTACGGCGGGCAGCCCCCCTATGACCAACAGCAACACCAGCCACAACAGTTCGAGGGCAGTAATCAGGGATACTATGGCCAGCAGCAACCGCAGAATCAGCAACCATACGATTCAAGCCAGCAAGATTACGGGCAACAGCGATATCAGCAACAGCCACTATATGACCAGCAAGGGTGAGCCACAGTTCTCCTCCCGAGACCCTCTTCTTCATTTTCCCTTTCATACACTCCCAACAAAAAAAAATTAAATTAAAAAAATAAATAAATAAAAGAAGATAAAGCTGAAGTTTTCTCCCGCCTTCAGAGCCCAACGACAAGATGTTGCTCCCGGTGGCGCCCAAGAAGGCGAGCGTGGTATCGGCGGAGCCATAACCGGTGGTCTCGCAGGTGGCTTCGTCGGCTCGAAGGCCAACCATGGCATCCTCGGCACAATTGGCGGCGCAATCATAGGCAGCATCGCGGAGGACAAGCTCAAGAACCGCAAGAAGCACAAGCATGGTCACAGCGGTAGTCACCACGGCAGCCACCATGGCAGCAGCCACGGCGGAAGTCAGTTTGGAGGATCGAACTCCGGTTTCTTAGGGTCCGCTGCAGGGTCGCTTTTTGGGAAGAAGTGAGAGTGTATTTTAAGATATTGTGACTCGAGCCGCTTCCCTCCCTAACCTGGTTCACTGCTGCGGACCCTAGATCGCGTCTCTTTCATTCATTTCCTTCTATTTGTTTCGAGATTATTTTTATCCAGTCTCCGAGTTTCATATTTTTATCTCTGATGTGTCTTGTTTCCTCGTATCCACCCCCCAACCGGGAGTTTGTTTTAATCGTGTGGGTTTTGCTGATATTTATAACTATATGATATGCCATAATGACCAATGTCCTTTCTTTTCGTATTTGTTTCCTGAAGAAATTCGGCCCTGCGAGTATCGTATGCTTCCTCCTGTTCGTCTCTCATCTGCCGTGTTAATGTTATCTGCCAACTCACCTCATAACAGTTTCCCATATAAAACTAGCATCAGTATCATTTTCACATCCACCCTAATATCTGTATATGTAGATGTGTAAAAATATAGAAAAGAGAAGAAAAGAATCAATATATTACAATTATCTCTGGCAACAAAATAATTCTACCCTAAAACGGTTTAGCGTGCAGAAATTGACGCCCTTAAACATTTTTATCTTTTTAGCTTCAATCCACAGTTATATGCCCCCGTTGCCTGTCTCCCAACCACACCTCCGCATCATGATAATACGACGGCTATTCGGACGGCAGGGTGAGTTTGACAGATTTTACTTGTCTATATACCCTTGCTAACAATTGCATCCCGATAGGCCTATCCTTGCTAAGGTCCTCTCCTCCCCGGACAACAAGCGCAGCATGTGGTCGTTTTTTCTCCACGGAGCCTGACTCCATTCCCCCTCGGCCAATTGCGCAGCAAATTACTCAATTGAACAGCCGGGAAAATGCCATTCCAACAGCTGCGCTGGAAGAAAGTCCGGAGTCGTGGGGAGAGCAGCATGATATCGCTCCCCGTGCGGGAGATCCCGTGGAAAACCCGCAAGAGATTGCCGAAATTGAAGCTGGGATGTTAGCACCAGTGGTTCCCGGACAGAGCGATTCTTCTTCATCGTCATTCATAGCAGAGCCATGTATGTGCAGTGTACCCCAATTGTGATCTCCACGTTTTCTTGATCCCCCGTCAGGCCCATATATAACTAACCATCATCGTCATCACTTCGAAACCCCCAGCCCCTAAAGAATTCCACAAACTCGGTTCCGAAATCCGAAACATCTACAAACCCGAATCTCTCATACGAAACCCCCCACACGTCCAAGATATCACCCTGGAACTCCTCCTAGCCTCCCAAACCCACCTCGGCCACGCAACCTCTCTCTGGAACCCCGCGAACTCAGAATACATCTTCGGCAGCCGACATGGCATCCACATCATCTCCCTGGACGTGACAGCCGCATACCTCCGCCGGGCCGCCAAAGTAGTGCACGAGGTAGCCAAGCACGGCGGTCTGATTCTCTTCGTTGGCACGCGCAAGGGCCAGCGACGCATCGTTGTCAGCGCCGCCAGCCGCGCGAAGGGATGTCACGTCTTCCAGCGCTGGATACCGGGTAGCTTAACGAATAGCGAGCAGATCCTGGGCCACTGTGAGAAGAAAGTGGTTAATGCTTTCGATGAGCCATTGGGGGGCTACGAAGAAAAGTTGGAGAAATTGCCCGCACTAAAGCCAGATTTGGTGGTTTGTTTGAATCCGCTAGAGAATCGGCCGTTGTTGCATGAGTGTGGGTTACATATGATTCCGACGATTGGGATTATTGATACGGATGCTAATCCAACGCATGTTACGTATCCGATTCCGGCAAATGATGATAGTTTGAGGTCTGTGGCGGTTATTGCGGGGGTTTTGGGTCGTGCTGGGGAGGAAGGGCAGGCGGTGAGGTTGCAGGAGGCGAGAGAGGGGAAGCTTACGTATCCGGTTAATGATATGTTGGCGAATTGGAAGCTGGTGGCATCGGAGCATGTTGAAACCAGGAGGGACGAGAATCGATAATCTAAATTTTATTGAGTGTGTGAGCAGCGGTATGACGGGAGGTTGTATTATTTTGAAATGACTTAACTCTTTTTTTTTTTTGTGGCCTGTATGATCTGGTCGTCTGTTGATATCATAGAGAATTTATGTTTAAATATTGATTTTTCTTCCCCCCCCTCCCTGGGGGTATATTTCACTTCTTGTACTGATCGTATGTATATACGTTGGTTTCGTATGCTCGGTTTTTGGTCTGGTCTACTTTTCACTTCCGCCTACATACCACTCCATTGTAATGTTTGATGTCCACAACAATCTCCCGGTGCACCTGAAGAGAACAGGCAATGACAGACAACTTCAAGTGAAGCAATAGACATATTTTATGCAAAGGAAGCCGCACATACCGCCCTATTGAATCTTGTCCACCATCCTACACTTCAATCCAGCTATGTTATTGATAAGACAAAACACCAAGAAGAAAGGGGGTTGAATTGAATGACCACAAAATGAAAACATTTGTATAGCAACAAACCCATTCCTAAGAGCGGGAAAAGGTAAATAGGGAATTTTTATTACCATTCAAGAATCCAACTCCCCTTGGCAGTGGTCCTTCTTACTTCTATTCTCCATGAAAATGAAAAGAGACGCTTGACGTATTCCTGAACCCCTGGACCAACACTACTAGGACTCTAGAAGCTGCGTTCAAAGAATTGCGGTCACAGTCATTTCTCTTACCAGTCAAATAGTATGAATCTGACTTAGATTTTCCCTTTTGATGTGCTGTCCTTGGTCGTGCTTTAGCCGATATTCTGTCTTACACATTCAACCCTGACAACAGCGAGCCGCAAGCAAGTCCTGAGTTCGCCACCCTGAGAATTTATCACTGAAATCATGCAATATCAAGTTAATGACATTGGAGCGACCAGTTCGTAACGAGCTCAAAGTCATGCGGGGTTGGTTCTCATGATCGCGCAGTCCAAAGAGAATAGCGCCAAACAGCTGGTTGAACATTGTCATCGAAGAAACCAGGCAACCGCTGACTCTCTCCCGACTTACTTCGACTACCAACATTAAATTTTTCAGTTAGGCAGCAGGTCGCTTGGACAATGTTTGCCGAGGATAGCGGATTGATGGTCTGCCAAAATTGAGAAGCGCTGAAAAGAGGTTCTCTTGGTCAAGATTTGTTTGCATTTCGAACCTTGAATCATTCAAGTAAAACCAAAAACCCGCAAAGAATCGGCATTTCTTTGCCCCGGATGGTTCTCAAGGTTCGAGAACAGGACAGGTTGCGCACCTGATTCCGTGTCTTAGCGTGTATTCCAAGAATGACGAAGAACGCGCCGAGACGTTGATACGAAGCAAGGATTGAGTTCATTCGACGGGTTGGGCAAGCCAAGTTGCTGCCTGAGCATCAGGTTCACTCTTCCCTGTTGACTGGTCGTCATCAAATGCTGGGAATTTCTTGACGATCAAGGATTTACACCGCCGGGACGGAATGAGGAGAAATGGAAATGGCCGGTTATGGCTATTTAAAGAGAGAGAATTGCCAATTGAGGGCGAAAGAAACACGCTGGAAGAATAATATAATTCATCAAACCTGATATTCTGGAGTACAATATCTCCTCTGCTCTACTTTACGCTACTTACGCTTTATTTCGCTTGGCTTGCCTCAACAAACCTCTGTCCTGAAAACACTCAACCCTCTTACCAAAAGTTCAACTCTAACCAACCATCATGGCGACTCAGCAAAAGAGCATCATCCTAACTCTCCCGGCAGCAGACATCGCCGCATCAACCCGCTTCGGAACCGCACTCGGTTTCAAACTGGGTCCATACAGCGACTCCAAATGGAATGTGCATCTCGAACACGACCAGTCCTTCAGCATCTTCTACACCACGCACGCCATGTTTAGCAAATGGCTTCCCAAAGAGCGGGAGATTGCCTCCACCAAAGCTGTCCATGAGATGATCGTTACCATTTCGGTCGGTTCAAATGAAGAAGTCGACGCATTGGTTGAGAAGGGGATTGCGGCGGGTGGGACTCGAGGCCCTGATATGCTTGCTGACGGTGGTAATGCGTGCGGTGTTGAGGAGGGTGTCAAGGCTGCCGACCACCCCATGCCGCATTCCAAAAGCGTGCTAGATCCGGATGGACATCTTTTCGAGGTCGTATTCTTTAATATGGAGACACCAGAGGGCAAGAAGGACGAGAATTAAACGTCTTGAAAATTGGCTGGGGGAATATTGGGGGTTGGTTGGGAAGATGTGAAACGCTGAATATCTGGTGAGATTGTCATTATTGGACTAAAGGGTGTTTGGCTGGGTTGGAGATACCTGGCAAATACGAAAGAAGCTGGAATGTCATGTCCAAATCAATATTTTATTCTGTCATTTCTGGAAGTAAACAATTTGAGGTTTGAAGTTTCTCATTTTCATATATTTACATAATGAAATCTATACCAACTGTTTCAAGATATCCTGGCTCTGAACATTCTAAAACATCTCTGTCAATTAGGGTATAAAACAGCGCAGCATATCTGAAAACATGGCAGTTGGCCAATCGAAACGGCCAATCAAATCCAAAATATAAACGCAAAATTCAACAAAAAAGTGAATCAGGCAGTGAGTTGCAAATCTAGAACAAAATATTGACGAAACCCCCTTCATCCAAGAGCTCTCATAGTAAATTCCACACTGAAATATGAAAGTTAGCAATACAAATATTCGCTGGAGGTAAGATTCCAGGGAATTTTGAGTGAAGAATAGATTGAGAAAACGGAACCACTCACACTGCGAACGTCCCTGCTGAAACTGGCATCGCCCTCAACAATGTTGGTCCGATTCCTTTCCAGAAACCACCCAGCCCCTCCGCCGCAAAGGTTTTCTTAAAACAATCAGTCATCCCAGAAAATTTTTGTTGAGCCCCAAACCCATCACTCTGCATTTTACTCTTAACCACATCGAGAGGATAACTTCCCAACCAGAGAGCTTCGCCAGCCAGTCCTCCATACGTTGCGATTTTAACGGCGGAAATCTCTTCTCGTTTAATATTATTGCGCTTCGCCTCCCAGTTCATGAGGTATTCGAAACTGAGGAACCAAACACCGTACGCTTGGGCTTCTCGCAAGATGGTGACGAGTTCTCCCCTATAAAGCCCCTTGAGGACTCCTTCATGGGAAGACAGTTTGCGGATGCAATCTAGTGGTCCGTTATATATCCGCTGGGCGCCATGGGGCTGGGTCTGTAACCGGATACGGACATGCTCTATAGGCCCAGATATCACAGAATTGGTAATTCCAGCAAAAGCTCCGGCAAGGTAATATTGTGGATAAGACAGGGATGTGTTTAGGGGGTTCTTCTTTGCGTTAAGCTCTTCGAAGCGTCGCCGTGCTTCGTGGAAAGCTCCGAATTGGACGCTGACCTAGAATAGATTATGCAAGTTAGGTAATTAATCTATATATTGCCTGAGTAACTTCAAAAACTGCAACATGGGGTAGTTCAAATACGAAAGTTTAAAACCCGAATACAAATGCTATCCTTAGGTTTAACCCCCCGGGAACTTACACAAGCACCAATACCAATCAATGGTGTCAACGTTCCCTTATAAAAAGCCAATGGACCTTCATTCTTTAAAATTTTTGTCGAGCAATCCAAGGCACTTGAGTACTGTGTCGTTGTTTGGAGGCGGACCTTGACAATATCTATGCGGGGTTTAATTGATGTTGGTCAGGAGAGCTATCTGAGTGGAAAACATACCAAATGGTTGGCCTGTAATAAAGAACAACTTAGTATATGTTCTGATAGATGTTTTCAGTGCTAGAAGTGAGAACTAAATGGGAAAATTGCTGGGGTGGATTGTATAGAAGCGCAAGCACTTAAGAGGCGCCAGCTTCAAAGGAGGAGGGAGGGAGGGAGGGAGGGAAAAGTTCTAAATAGGATAATACCCGTTCAGAGAACACTCACCGAGAAGAACCTGCGCAATACCCCCAGCAGCGCCTGCAGTTAGATCTTTGATTGTTCTCAAAACCCCCTGGCTTTCAATTTCATTAGACGCCATCTTTGCCCTCCCTCGCAAACTGTACCGACGTTATCAACCGCAAGTAGTCTACCACAACCAATTAAGCGTGAAACCAGAAATAAAAATTTGATGAAATCTGGATATATAAGAGACGACACCAACTGCGGTACAGCTAGCTCAAAAACCGATACCAATTCGGCGTTGCGCAAGGAGGAGGGGATAAAACTAAGAAGTTGGAGTTGTGATAGAATCCATCTGGGGGATATTTCTTAACTGGCCCTTGCGGACAATCACGTCTTTAGAGTTTGCGTCATTCATCAACCCTTTGACTCACGTAATCCACCCCCGAGCCGGTTCAACCCAACCGAGTCGGTCAGCAAATCCAACAACTACATAGCATATTATATAGTATTAACCCGAAATATCTACGCACAATTAACTACCACTCATCTCGCAGGACGATTGTCAGTGAACGTTTTACACATCATGTGACAGCACATCAGAATTTTCGCCTGCAGGGCTATATTATTGTTATTCTGTTCTGTTTGCAGCAGCTCACTTTCACTCCTATTTTCAGCATGTTAGTTAAATCCTACAATTGCTCCTCTGTTTTATACATACACTTCTCTAAACATGTTAATCTAGTTGTTATATATAATATAATATTTAATTATTTTTAATATAAAATTTTAAAAATTTAATTTATAATTATATTAATATAATAATAATAATACTTATTAAGTAATATATTTACCTTATAGTTAATTTAAAATTATATATAAAAATATTTTACTTTTAATAAAATGATAAAAAATCTTTTTCAAATAAAGATAATTAATTTATACATATACTATCTATAAAATTAAAAAAATAAGAACAAAAAAGAGAGAAAAAGATCTAAATATATAAAGAATTTCAAATATATTGAACTTGAAGTAAAAGAATAAAAGAGCAAAAGTTAAATTGAAACAAAACAATGGAAGCTCTAATAGAGAAAAGGAAACGCTAAATCAGAGCAAAAGAATGATAGATCTGACAGAGAGTGTCACAGGACTACAGATGTAAGCTCTTAATACACATTAGCATTTTACATAAAGGAGAATAAAAACTAGAAGTAAACTTACAATAAGTGGTAGTCTCAATTTGAGCTCAGTGTCATGTTTATGTAGTTATTTTGAGCGTGGTATTATAAATACTTTCCACGCAATTCAGGCTGAGATGCATATGACTAAGCAGGGTGCAGTTTATTTGCCTGAGTTCAAATGCTGAACCTCGCTGACCAATGCCAAGCCAACATCGGGAGCGTGATCGACCTCGCTAAAAGGCTTGGCTGTCCCGCCACACTGATGCTCTTAAAATGAGGACCATATAATAAAAAAAAAGGTCAAAGAGTAAACATTATTAAAATAATTTCTCTTCATAATCAATGATCTCAATCACTTTTTTTAATAATATAATAATGAAATCAAAAAAAAGAACTTTGAAAAACTTGCTTTATTATTTAAATAGAAATTATTAAATTTTTTTATTTAATATAATTTATTATTAAATAAATAATATCATTGAGTAAATAGTTTTTATTTTAAATTATTTATATTTATAAGGGGTTGAACCTCTAGATTTGCTCTGACTGGCTGACTCAGCCTAGCCATCATTTGCACATGCGCACATGATCATGCTATGTGAGCTTGCTTAAGCTTAAGTTCTCATCTCATTCTTTTCTTCCCTTTCTCAAGCAATTTGTTCTTGTTATATAGGAGGACTAGCCTCTAGTTCTTAGAGCTTAATCCTTTACATTATGAATTGCTTCACTTCTTTCATTGATAGATCACTGAAAGTCTTAATTCTGTATCATGAAGCTCAGCAAACATACTGACATATGATAGACTATTGAGAGTCTTAAATTCTACATCATGAAGTTCAGTGATAGCACTGATATATGAATAAACTGAGTTAGCAATTGTGCTAACAAACAAATAAGCAACATTGAAAATGTCTAGTCAAATGAGATAAAATGACAGACTTGTACAACAAATATACAAATAAATTAACATGAAGTAATGAGCAGAGATGCTCTCAGCAGCTTTGAACAATAATGAATGATCTTTCTTCAACAGCAGAAACAAATTCAGTGTAAGAACAGAAATTTAATAGCAGCTCAGCAAGCTGAAATAGCTAATCTACAACAAGCTTTGAACACTTTGACATCAACTCTCTCTCAATTGAATCTGCAATCACTTATTGCAGTCAGAAGATCAAAGATCAAGCTACTAAACTGCAAGAAATATGATGATTCTAATCTGAAGCACTACTCTCAGTGAGAGCTAAAGCTTCAATCAAAACTTAAGATCAATGAGAAAGCTTTAGATAATAATGAGGAATGTGCTTGATATATGTACTTGAGACTGAAAGAAATGACAGCAGCTCAAGTTTATCTCTGAGTTGAGAATAATAAAGACAAGATCAACTTCACAGTAGAGAGCTTACTGAAGCAGATACATATGCTCTTTAGCAATTCTGCATGACAGGAAAAGACTATACAAAAGCTCAACAATCTATGACAGAGTAGAAGAGCTCTCTTTGACTTTCTGTCTGAATTTAATCAGCTACTGCTAAAAACTGATGATCACAGATGAGATGATTATGTTAAAAAGAGATATTTGAAATCTGCTCTAAGCATGGAGCTGAGGAAAGGCATGATGAGTGTAAGAGAACTGTCTCTCTATGAGAATTACTGCAAGGAGCTTAGATTAATTGATCATCAATTCTCTGAGCTTAAGACTTTAAGACAGTGATCTAAATATTGTGAGAGCAGATCTTCTTCAGATCATACAATGTCTAATTCACACTCTCTACTTTGTCATGCTGTTCTTAACTGATGAAATCAGTCTCAAGCTTCTGCTGATGATCTGATGAATCTCTCTACTGATGCTATGATCTCAAGCACCTGCCATATCAAATTGATAAATCAGACAGAGATTAATCAACAAAGAGAGTAAGACCTGTGCCTGAGATGCAGAGCTGAAGATCATATGATTAAGAGCTGTCTGTTCAAACCTCTCAGATGCTCTGCCACTCTCATGATAGCTAAGATGATCCCTAAGCCAGTACTGAATGACAATGATATGGATATGAGTGAGAATTCAGGAAAAGAGTAGCTTCAACTAAAAGACACTGAAAGAAGCAAAATAAGAAGCTTATGAGAAAGCAATAGAGAAGATTTAAATCTAAGATGATATTTAAATCATTCACTGTTGATGCTCTAGTAGATAATGCCTTTTCAACTAGAGCAATAATAGACAGTGAATGTAATGTCTATGATCTTATTTCTCAATTCTATGTTAATAAGTATAAGCTCTCATGCATTGAAATTCTCTCTGTTAAAATGACTGGCTTTGAAGACTCCATGGGACTCTCCATGAGCATAGTGACTGGCATTCAAATTGATATAGATGATCATGTAACTGAACAGACCTTTCTCTACATGGTGAATGAGTTACATAGTCATAATATGTATATAAGTGACCTCTGGCTGGCCCAGCAAAAGACAACTGTGATCTCTCATTAAAGAATTATGAGATTTGAAGAGAGTGGCATAGAGGTAAAGCCTAGTTCAAATGCAAAAGCTGATGTGATTTCCATCTCTGCCATAAGCTTCTCTAGACTTGTGAGCACTTGAGAGAAGTGAAACATCAAGATCTTTACTGTCAGTTTGGCTGACATTCAAAAGACTCTAGAAGTGAAATCAAAGATTGACCCTAGAGAAAAGCTATCTGAACATTATCATGAGTTTTTGGACATATTTGATAAGAAAGCTGCTGACACTCTACCTCCACTTCATGACTCAGATAGAGATCATGAGATTGAACTGATTAAAAAGACTGATGATAGTGTGGAACAACTCCCTTGAGGCTCATTATATAATATGTCTTGAGAGAAACTACTGGTTTTGTGAAAGACTCTTACAGATTATCTAGATAAGAGTTTTATTATAGTGAGCAACTCCTCTGCAGCCACCTCTGTACTATTTGTGAAGAAGTCTGAAGATGAGCTAAAATTCTGTATGAACTATCAAGCTCTTAACAAAATCATCTGAAAGGATTGATATTCTCTATCATTAATCAGTGAAACTCTACAGTGAATTGAACAGACTAAATATTTCACTAAGTTGAACATTATTACAGCTTTTCACAAGATTTGAATCACAGAAGGTGATGAGTGAATGACAGTCTTTAGAATCAGATACAGACTATTTGAGTGACTGATTACACTCTTTGATTTGGCTAATGCTCTGAGCACATTTCAAAAATATATCAACTGAGCATTACATGGATATTTGAATGACTTCTGCTTAGTCTATTTAGATGACATCTTGATATTTTCCTCAAGAAGCTTATGGGAGCATCATGAGCATGTACAAAAGATGCTTATATGTCTATAGAAAGCAGGCCTGCAGGCAGAAATCAGAAAAAGTGAGTTCAAGATGAACAGCACAAAATATCTTAAATTCATCATTGAAGTGGACAAGGATATATGAATGGATTCAGAGAAGATTAAAGCTGTTTTGGAATGAGCAACACCTACTACTCTTAAAGATATACAAGGATTTTTAGGCTTTGCCAATTTCTATAGACAATTTATCAGGGATTTCTCAAAGATCATGACCTCACTGACAATTTTTACACATAAGAATGTTTCTTTTTTGTAGATGAGCAAGGCTGAGAAAGCTTTTAAGTATCTAAAATCAATGTTTATCTCTGCTCCAATCCTGCTTCAATTTGACTCTGATCATGAGACTATATTGAAAACAGACTTCTTAGATTATGTCTTAGGAGGAGTGCTGCTACAATATGATGAGCAGAGTATTCTACACTCATGTGCCTTCTTCTCTCACAAGCATTCACCTGCGGAATGCAACTATGAGATTCATGATAAGAAGTTATTAGTAATAATTGATTGTTTAAAAAAATGAGACACTGAGCTACAAAGTGTAAAGGAATTCAAGATTCTCACAGATTATAAGAATCTAGAATACTTCA